TTTAGGACAATAAATAATATTTCTGTTCTTTTCTATCGCCCCATTGACCACTTTCCTTGACCTGTTTTAGTTTTATCAATCACGTAAAAAGGACCAGTTCTAAGGCTCAATTTGTACAAAATACAATGGATTTTTGCACCCTTTCCTGATTCCTTTACACTTACTTTTGATTTTTGCAACCTATCTACAAGCGAAGGCTCTAGTTAAAGGATGGAAAAGAGCAAATGTGAATATAAACCCTCATTATATTAGCCTAACTTTATTTACAGGTAATCAGACATCATGCAAACAAATGTAAATATATAAATCATATGCAAGAAGAATGAATACTGGTATTGAATCAGAAGGCAAGGTTGGAAAGGATTAGTTAAACAATTTGCAAACATACAACCAGGCAATTGCAGCTGTATTATTTTTTGCATTTCACCCTCATCAGATATGATTGTATTTTAGGTGACTAATACTGAATACAAGAGAAAGCTCACCGTTCTCACAAAGGTCTCCTCCATAAGTTGGCAAACAGAGACATTTAATGTGTCCGTCTCGCTCAGTGCAGGTGCCTCCATTGAGACAGGGGTCATCCAAACAGGCATCTGAAACACAAGAGAGGGGCTACTGCAGATTACTGTCGGAATAAAGACCACAGGTATCTGTGTGTTGAAAGGACCAATGATATTGGGGCATGACTAATGCACACTCTACTTTAAAGGTAGCAACACATTGTTCACATTTGTTACACACTGGTTAGTATAACTTGTAATATAGACCACAGAATAAAGTAAAACTTTAAACGGTGTAAGGCAGGACAGGAAATTCTCCTCAGCTTCTTAGGTCCTTCTTCTCTCTTCTTTCAATCTTCTCTTTGGTATTAAAGATTCAAACCTGTTTTTGTGTGCATAAGGTGCAATCAGAACAATAAATGGAGCCTTGATTTTCTTTCCACTCTCCACAAAGACTCTTTTCAAAGAGATTTGCACATACAAAAGAACGGTTGTTCATTTTTGGTCAAATTTTTAGCCTTTAATTAAATGCTAACAAAGCTTGCTTGTTGAGGTCATAAAAATATAAAGGAGCAATCTTTTCTGTTCATTACGTAAGCTGAAAAATCAGCTATTTTGATATACCTTAACATCATTTTATATTAAATGTTCACTAAAGCAAAAAGTTGTGAAAAAGTGGACTAAAGAGGCAACCTTTTGCTTTTGTCACCTTCAGACGATAGATCGCTTGTTTGAAGGCTCAAAAAGAAAAAAGAGAGCTTGAACTCTGGATTTATTTTAAAATTTGTGAAAAGAAAGCAAAATATGACATGTCTGTGGAAACAGAAATTAAATATTTTAAACATAAGCTTTGTCCTGTCATTATGTTCACTGTTACATAAAACTCCCTCCAGAAACATCTCTCCAGTGTATATGAAAGGTAATAACTACTTTTCCGACACAAATGAGAATCATATGCTCTCTGGGCATAATTGCTGTCAAAGCTGAGCAAAGAAATATACAAACGCAGCGTGGGAAACCACTTTGATTCCTTTAATGTCTAACAGACCCCATCCTCTCATTAAGATGCTTTTCCTCGTGTTTATGTTCCCTAAAATACTAACATTTTACTAACTTGGCAAAGTCTGCCTTAACAGAGAAGTTTTCACCTTTCCTCACTGAATGAAGAGAGGGTTATGTACGACTTAAATGGGAAAATCAAATGTCCCTGGCAAAGCTGGTATTGGTGCATTATTGAAAAACACACTAATAACTATATGATTACTGTTTTCATTTCTGCTGAAGAAAGTGGACACAGTCAGTCATTAGTGGACGACAGAGACCTCTATTAACTTAACCTCAAGGCTCCAGAGTGCATAATACTTTCATGCACACCAACCATGAGCACTGCAGACATGGGGGTAATAGGGTATTAAAGATATGTAACATTTCTGACAGAAGCCAGTCTCATATTTCCCAAATAATAGAAAAACACTGCAAGAAAAATCCTGCTGCACCAACTATATAAACTACAGAAACAAGAAACCACCATGATCAAGTTTTTCCAAAAAGAAATATTTGTTGATATGGCTCAATCAGAAAATGCTATGCCCATACTTATACAAAATAATACAAATACTATTGCTATTTTCTTTTAATTTTTTTTTCTTCTAGTAATAGCACTTTGTTTGAAAGCCCTTTATAAATAGAGTTATTATTATTATTATTATTATTATTAACTTTTGCAAATATTTTAGGATTTACAAAACAAGGCCCAAGTTTATGTTTCTATTTTTATTGCGTTAACTTTTTATTTGTAAATATTGTAATTTTCTATTACATACATTTTTAATGACTTTACCCTTTTATGACTTTCTTTACACAAAAACATTGAAAATAAAGGTAGATGTAGATACAGTAAGAAGACAGGAAATCAGATATATTACATAAAAAGAGTTATAAATAAGTAAAAACTAAAATGAATATGATAATATAATGCATTTAAATATAAAAATAAAATCTTAAATACTACAAGGTATAATTTTTAAATGAAAATTTTAAAAATACATACAGTATAGACAAAACTGGAGAAAAAGATAATAGATACACTTTACTCTTTAGTAAACTAGTAAAGTAAAAAAAAAACATGAATAAATGAATCAAAGTAAGATTAAAGTTTAAATAGATAACAATAATAATAATAATAAGTATAATAATAATAATGCTTAGGCCAACCAGAATTCACTGTTGAAAACAAATGTCACATTTTACTGTTTACCTGTTTAGGTACTATAGGTTTACTAGTTGTTACCATAGTAATTAGTGATTGACTCATCCATCTTTAAGTAAATCTTTGTCTAAAAAATCTCAATGAAATATTCTTAAATTTTAATGGCCAACACTTAAAAAAGCATGCATAAGGACTTAAGGAACAGTACCTTATCGTCGCTGAATGCTTAATCTTCCTTTATTATTTTCATATCAAAACTGTCATAAAACATTTTTTTTCTGTCAACATTCAAATAGCCTTTTCTGACTGATAAAATATATTAGCTTTATCTTGTTAAACTAAAAATTTAAACTTGGAAGCCTTTTATTTAACTCACACAATACCACTTGAATTTAAGCTCTGTACAACAAGGCTCTTAAAATATTTTTTGTATATTTTATTGAAAGAAATATGCATCCAATGCAAATAGATGTAGAAACTACAAAAATGAAATAACTAAATGTTTTAACTAGCCCAGACAGAAAAAGCTAGTTGAAGTTAGTTATCCTAAAACAGAGGTTTGAACAACTGAAAACAAGATACAACCAATGGCGGTTCTTAATGAATGGCACTCTGGTCCCTCATTCTGTCCTCCTCCAACCAATGCGAGAAGTATTCTAACTTCTTAGTGCCTTCCAATTCTCATAAGTCAGCAGTGGATTCCAACTTGGTAATGAATGCACATGCACAAAACCAACAGAAAATCTAAAGAGTGCGCACCTGTTCTGTCAGATCAGTACACCCCGTCAGACCAGAATACCCATAGTCCATACGCATGTGCAAGAAGTCAGATTTGCATATGCGTGTGTTAGCCCTGTTTATCCCTTTAGATTTGTACAAAAAATACGATTTAAACTATCTCGACGGGCATGTATCCCGTTAGTCATGTACAAAAAACGATTCAAGGTCAGATCGCCATACGCTTCAAAAAACACCAAGAAATAAGTAATTAAATTGTTTTTTTGTACATAAATAAAGGGAAACATGCCTGTTGAGGTAGTTTAAAGTTTTTTTTGTACAAAACTAAAGGGATAAATGGGGATTGACTATGGGTATGCTGGTCTGACGGAACACCCCCGTCTCCAATACTGTCCATATGGCCAACATCAAAAACCGCCACTGCTCATAACAAATGGTAAACAAAAATAGTTTGTGCTTCAAAACCTAAGCACAACATTTGCTTTTGTTAGCTAACGAGACTGTTGGAAAAAAATCAAATGAAAAGACTTTTAAGTCTGCTGCATTGATCAGTGCTATTACATTCAAAGTAAAATGTTGTTACATTCATAAAAGAAAAATACATTCTAAACTTATAAAACTGGTTAAATGATTGACCAGAAATGTTTTGCTGGGGCTGTCACCACCGTTCTTGTTAAAGGAACACCCAAAAATAGCAGTCAAACTTAACCGTACTTCACAGAAGTCAGTCTTTGGATGAGTAGGGGAATATCATGCACAAAAAAATAAAAAGACGTGGGCAACAGTCGACTGTCCCAGTGTGAGTAGCAGGAGAGCAGTGAGGAGTGTTTAAGGGGTTTAGGAGTCAGAAAAGTGAGTAGATTTGTTGAGACAGCAAGTGAAAAAAACAGGAAGGATGGTTCTGTTTTGGATTTTTTTTAAACAGAAAATGGTCTGAAAACAAACCAGGGATTTTAGTGCATCACTTTGATGAGGAAGGAGAGGACAGTTAGGCTGATGAAAGTGATTTTAGCATTACCTGAAAAGGCCTCTGCACCACCTACAGCTGCCCTCTCTTTGGGCAAGATAAGCAGGGTGGGTGGTGGGGTGAGGCTAATGTCAAGATCAACCACACCTTGATCCAAAGGTGGGACAAAACGGTTAAACTTCTGGGGCTCTGTCGTCTTACGGAAACTGTGAGGTCTTGTGGTTCTTGGGCTCCAGGTGTGTTTGGGCATGTGTGTGGTAGACATTGCAGGAGTAGAAAGTTTAGACTGGTCAGTGCTCACTGAGGTCTCTGACACTGACGTGAAAGGGAGTTTCTGACTAAACTTTGGATTATTCTGATGTTCTTGGGGTCCAGTTGTGGTAGTCAGCAGATTCCACTTAGATGTTTGAGAATTGAGAGCAAAAATGGTAAAGTCCTCAGAGGGTAGTGCAGCATTTTGTTTGTCTTCAAAATCAAGGCCAGGAGTAACTTCGGGTTCATCAGTCCCAAAGGTTGAGGTTACTTTGGATTCTCTTTCGGGGAACCCAGAGGAAATATCTGTTTCTTCTGCATAATTAAACCTTCGAACATTGGCTTCTTCCTCTACGAAAGGGGTTTGTATAACTTCGGCTTTCACATGAATTGGGGTTAATTCCACTTCAGCATTTTCTTTTGTATTCGAAATAACATCAAGAAAGACAGTTGAGTCAACTTTGGCATTTTCTTCAAAAATTACTTTAGGAGTTACTGGGGCTTTATCCTCGATGACGAATCTTGCAACTTTATCTTGTTCTGTAACGGTTGGGTCAGTAGCACCCACTTCTTTAAAAACAAGAGTTGGGGTTATTTTAGTTTCTCCATAAAAACCCAAGGTTGAAGGAAAGTTAGATTTTTCTTCAAGAGCAACTGTTGGGATTACTTTAATTTCTTCTTTAACAGGCAGACCTGGACCATCTGTCTCTCCTTCAAGAACCAAAGTTAGATTAACTTTAGTTTCCTGTTCTAAAACTACAGTTGGGTCAACATTAGCTTTCTCATCAAGAACAAGAGCTGGTGTAACGTTAGCCACTTTTGTAAGATCTGCATCAACTTTAGTTTTGCCATCAACACCCAAGGCTGACAAAATGTTAGACTCTTCTTTGAGGGCAATTGTTGGGATTACTTTGTCTTCTTCAACACTCAGAACTGAAGCAACCGTCTCTTCTTCATGCGGTAAAGTTAGGTTAACTTTAGTTGCTTCATCTAGAATAACAGGGAGGTCAGCATTAGATTTTTCATCTAGAACCAGTGTTGAAATAACTTCAGTTTCCTCCGAAAGATTTGGGTCAACTTTAGTTTTTCCATCAAAAACCAAAGTTGACACAGTTTTCGAATCTTCTTCGAGAGCAACTGTTGGGTGTACTTTAACTTCTTCAATAGACAAAACTGAAGCACCTTTCTCTTCTTCAAGGACCAACGTTAGGTTTACATTAGTTTCCTGTTCTAGGACGTTTGGGCCAACATTTGGTTTTTCATCAAGAACAAGAGTTGGGATAGCTTTAGCTTCTTCTGTAAGATTTATATCAACCTTAGTTTCGCCATCAAACACCAAGGGTGACACAAGTTCATCTTCTTTCTCAAGAACAGCTGATGGCGTTGCTGTAGCTTCTTCTCCAACAGCAATAATTTGAGAACCTTTTTCTACTTTAAGGACCAAAGTTGGACTAACTTTAGTTTCTTCTTCTGGGACAGCAGTTGGTGTAACTTTGGTTTCTCCTTTCAGACTGAGTGTTGGGGCAACTTTGGCTTCTTTTTCTGTGCTTTGGCCAACATTAGCTTCTGTTGTAAACGTAGCAGTCGACGGAACTTTAGCATCTTTTCCAACTAAAATTGAGCTGTAAACTTCCTCTGTCTGGGTTGGGGAAACTCTAACATTTCCTTCTAAAGGTGAGGTCTTTTTAATGTCCTCTTGAAAGGTTGAAGTAACTGTTCCAAGCTCATATCCACTTGCCTCTTCATAAGGGATTATCAAGCCATTAGGCACTTTATAACCTGTCTGATAGTTGTCTGTTGCCAATTCAGATGGTGAATAAGAGATATTTAAACCCACTGGAGGTTCAGTCATAGGAAGTACCCCAGAAACTACCTGGGTGGGAGGCTGAGTTGCATCAACCAATTTTTCCTCACTTTCTTCAGAGTCCAAGCTTGTACTTCCCTCCTGTCTAGACACAGTGAGATCCCACAAGTCTGGTGTTGTAGAAAAGATTTCAAAGCCCAGTTTGTCCACATTCTGTGACACAGTAGCGTGGGCTGGATTTGTGCTCTGAGGCGTGGTGGGAGCTCTGCTAGCCACAGCAGAGCCCAGCGATTGGGTGGCAAATCCAGCAGTGGAGGATTGAGACGTGGACATGAGGGTGACTGCTCCCATTTCAAACTCTTTCTCTGAAAGAGAGAATAAATTATAAATAACAGTTACTGTCTAAAGAAGCTTATTCATCTAGAATTTACTAAGAGTGAAGATTATCTGATCAAAATATCAGGATCATAAAGCAAGAACACTTGATACTATTACAATTATCATTGATATATTTTTACAACAAACCATTACAATATGGGGAGTATCATTATAAGTAAAAAATGTAGGTAAATGTGGAATATTAACCCATAAGAGTATATTTTTTGTTGATAATTAAATTGAAGTATTTTAAATCCTGACACTGAGTTATAACTGTGGATAAAGGAAGAAACTTGTTTAAGCAGTCTTGACTGAATAAAGTCATTCTGGTAGAAAAAAATGCCAAAAAGCAGTTGATTGAGAAATGACAAGAAATTACAATTCAGTTTTCTGTAATTATTAAACTTGTAGTGCTGCTTAGATTGGCAACCTCATGACAAATATGCCTTTGTATTCACAAAATCTTAATGTGGACATTACTACACTTTAAACAGCTTTTCAGGTGACTGTGATGTAGCTTGAGCATGTCTTGATTTATTAAATAACCTTCCCTACCATGGGAAATATCTCCAGATCCATCTATGGGAGTCCAGATTGAATAGGTCTTAATGGCTGACTCAGCAGTTGGACTTTCTTGTGTGGAAGGAGTTCCCATATCTTGGGAAGCCGGAGTTGTGACCAACATCCGCACAGGATCTTCTGCAGCTGCTTCTTCCATCTTTATGTCAAGCAATGGACTAATTGCCACGGTGGTCCCTCTCCAAACCCCATCTTTTACATCAACGTCTGTATGGTTATTCTCCGTCTCACTGTAATTGGTATGAGATTTGTCAAATTTCACATCAGTTACATGAATTTCATGGTACTGCTTCGTCTGTTCGATTGACTGTAGAGACTGAGTAGGATATGTGTCTAGCATTGAGTGGTTCTCTGTCTGGGGTTGGTATGTGATTTTTACAAATTCAGATAGGTGAAAGGTGAAGCTCAGGTTTTGTTGAAACTCTGTCCAATTGTAATCACCAGAGAGAATGGTTGAGTTTTGTGCTGAATCATAGACCTCTGTTGTGCTATTAATTTCTTTTGGAAGAAGCTGGGAGTTGTAACTTATTTCTGTGCCTTCTTGAAGTGGTTGAAGGTGATTCAACGAAGAGGTGGTGCTTGGGAAAGATTCTGTTACGTCTGAAGTAACTGTCTGGTTTGTATCGATTGGGTAAGATGTAGTAAAAGAGTCAGGCAAAAGAGGTAAAGATTCAAGTTCACTTTGTGCTTCTCGTTCCACTTGTTTTTCTAGCTGATTAAGATGAATTTCTTGTGCTCTTTCATTAAACATAACAACTTTTTGTTCTAAGCTTTCAGCTTCTGTGACGTCCACTGGAGAGTCAGTAGAAGTTTCACTGTCTCCTGTTAAAGAAGGAAGTGGTTAAAGATAGCTTTTATATCAAAGCATATAATATAAAGATATCACTTTATAGTAGGAAATATTTGAAGGCACCCACCTTTGAAACAATAAACATCATGAAGGCTAGACCGGTCGGGGAAACCGGTCTGGTTCCTGAAGCGATAGATTGTTTTGACGCCTGCTTGAGGACCACCACACCTCTCTCTTGGGGTTACGATGGGATAACGCACACTGCCGTCAGAGAGCCAGCCAGGACTGCAGCGGTCCAGCCCTTCACTCCATGCTAAGTATAACTGTGCAGTTGATGCCAGCTGTGACTTCCTGTCTTGACAAAATGACTGTGCCTCATCAAATGATAACTGTTGTGGGATGTACTCATAGGAAACCTTGCCTAGAAAAAGACAATATTTTCATCAATTATTACACGGAATGTATAATTTGCTCAATGCAGATCTATGAAAAGTTTGTTGCAGCTCACTTCAAAGCAGATTTTTTTGTTTGTAATTTTGTGGATTTTGTGAATGTGAACAATAACTTCTCAGGCTTTGGTTGATTTTCAGTTTTATTACAGGTCTTGTGCCTGTGAGGATAATGAGCTGAAAATGAAAATAGTCTGGTGGAAGACAAAAAAGGAAAGGCTTCCATCAGGATAAACTATCCACAACAGATAGTTTATCCTGCAGGCCTCATAACCCTGACATTTGAATTGTTTAAGCTCATAAACTGAGTAGGTAAGCCCCTATTGTGTTGTTAAATTCTTTATTTTGCATCTTTTTTACTTCTCAACAAAATAATGCGCTCCTCTTTCTTAAAGAGGCATTACGGAATAAATTTTTTCTATGATACTGCTACCTGTGGCCAAAATGGAGAACTGCAGCACTCTCTTCTGCTTGGTCTCGCATTTGTACTAGACATGGTCTCATTTTTTATTTTTTTTACTTCTTTCACATTACATCAAGTTGATACTGGCGTCTGATTTGAGCTGGATGCAGGCCGCTTCCAAATATCCACAAAATCCATCCATCTTAAATATAACACATTGATTGTTGGCCAGATTGGACCCATTTAACATGGACGCATGCACAGAAACAGCTCAGGAACTTCCGACCAACAGTTCTTTCATGGAAAATATGTTACAGGCTTATAGATGCATCGGCACTGAACTACTGAAGTGTCAGTCTGCCTATCAAACTATGTTTCAATCGTACAGGATAAAAAAAGGATATTTTAGAGATTCCTTTATGTAAAAATGTACAAAATTGTCCTTTTAAGATAAATACATAAAAAATCAAAAAGGGTACACCAGTGTTAAGTCTTCAAAAGTTTGTCTAATTACAAAATGAACTCTGAGTTTTGTTTACCTGAGAATACATTGTTTTTTTTTTAAGTTAATTCTGTGTCTTCTATTTATATCTCTGTCTTTTAAGTAGTAATTTTGTGAAGATGTTGCTCTGTTTTTTTCTGTTTACCTGGTATTGCCCTTTGCCTGCTTTTACTATTTGCATTGTTCTGTATAAGGTGTCGTTTTTTTTTTACCTAATTGGCTTCATGGCTGCTAACCATTCTGAATCTGAATCAACTGATCGACATGGCTGTCAGTTTTGCCTGTTTTCCAAAGCCTTTATTCTGTTGTTCCAATTGAGTTTCTCAGTTTTTTTTTTTAAGTTGCAGTTCCCACTAGATCCATGTAAGCTTATCTTAAAAAACAATCTTCATTTTAAGTCAACAATTCTTCTGTCTGCTTTTTGACCTAACTCAAGATCAAAGCTTTAAAATTTAGCCTTTTTAAGATGTCGCAGAATTTGTGTTTGGGATCTTCCTTCTGTTGGTCTGTTAATCTCTGTCCACTGTCTTCAGCAGAGACACAAAAAATGGGGGAAGAGATAAAGGTTGCATGGAGGAGGCCAGCATCCATGTTTGAACTACTGGCTCTGAGAATCAGTATGGGTGCTCCTTCCTCCCCACATGCGATGATTCTTTCTTAACACCAAAATTATTAACATTCCTGTCTTGTGACCTATTAAAACAAAATGAATCACGATTCCTTATTTTAGATTAGAAAGATGAAGCACACATAAATTTGTGCAATTTTTAACTATTTTTCTAATTGCTTTTAAGTTTTACTTAAACATTAACGTTTCTTTCAAATAGATTTTAGGTAACTGGTTGACACAAAACTTATATCAAATAATTATGCTAGACTGAACAGATGATGCAGGCTCTTTTAAATAATTTTAATCCATGTAATATTTTAATAAAAATGAAATATTCATTAGAGTTAATTGTTGTGTAAATTTTTTACAACCCATAAAGAAAATTATGCACAAGATGTCATGAATATAATTACACATTTTCAAGGTTAACTAGCAACTAAATTAAATGTTAAGTAAATGTTTGTAAACTTCTAATTATAATTAATTAAACTTATAATTATTGTATATATATATATATACACACAAAGACAACAATTAACTTTACATTAACTCATACCGTGAATTTGTTCTATATAGCAATAAACATCATAGAGATCATTTGGATCCATTGTTCCATAGTTTCTCACTCCTGGTTGCCCGTCCATGTCTCCATAGCAGCCGTCACGAGGTGCTTGGATTGGATACCTGCATTTGTTCAGAAAAAAACATCCTTAAATAAAACAAGCCTCTGGGCATTTTAAAGATAATAATTATACAAAAGAAACGTCTCAAGGCCTGAAAGCACGGATTTGTGGATGTTTAACCATGAAATTTCTGCAGTCACATAAATATTTCACATAGATTTTAAAATTGTTGTTATTTTATTACATTACAAATGCCCATCTACAAACCTATTATGCAAACAATCAATGATGCATTTACTTTAATATAGCTTATTTATTTAAAAAAACATTGTCAGGTTTATCTATTTAGAATTATCAGAGTACACATACTCAAAATGAATATTACTTAGTGTATTTATTACGGTAACATAAACTTTATTCTTTGAATTGCATTATAATCAGGGTTACCTTTATGCAATTAAAACAAACTTCATGTATTTGAAATAAATACACTAATTTGTATTTATTTTGAGTAAGTATATTTTATTAATACTATATACATAAACCTGATGATTATATATTTTAAATAAATAAGCTTTGGTATACAAATTAATTTGCAGCGTTTAAGATTTATTTAAAATATTTATGTTACAATTTTCTATACAGAGTAAATGGGAAGTTGTAATACAATTAAACAAATTATAAAATTTGGGTGAGGTTTTTGTAAGTGCAAGACTTTTGAAAACAAAAGGTGCACAACTACCTGACAGATTGGTCTGCCAGCCAGCCTGCGTCACACTGCTCATATCCATCGAAATAGGCTGCAAGCAGCTGCTCGGGTGTGGCAACCTGTGCCCCGATGCCCTCACAAGCTCTCTGGGCCTGCTGGAAGGAGAAGGAATACCGACCCAAAGCATCTCTATAGTGGAACACCACCCCTAAACACATTAAAACATGCAGATATAGAATGGATTAGTATTAATAATAATGTCTTAATTGCAATTATCAAGTACACTGCAGAATCCAAATATTGTGTACCTCCAGTACAATACATTAAATGTGAACAATGCACAGTTAAACCTTCAAGAAGGATAAAAAAAAAATCACAGTATATCATAGGCTACCTTTGACCTTGACCTGTACAACTTTGCTGGCATCTTCCAGTCCCTGCTGCACCTCGCAACGATAGTGGCCAGAGTCTTTGTGGTGCAGATCCCCCAACCACAGAGTCACATCTTCAGGGGAGGAGGAGAAGTTCAATAGTGCCACGCGATCTCTGTACAAATCGTTGATCTTCACTCTTGGACCCCTGGCTACCAAGATCTCTGTCTCGACCCCCTTAGAAACCACGGTCCACTTCACCCGGGGCACCACCGAAGGGGAGGTGGAGGACAGGGACACAAAGCAAGGAATGGAAATCGAGCTGCCCAAAGGTGCAAAAATTGGACCTGAGTGGGGCATGTTCAGTTGAAGCCGCCGCACATCATCTGATGAAACTGAAGAAAAAACAATATGTAAGGCAATGTGGTTTAGAGAAATTAACAAAAATACTCACATTTAACCTCATTTGACATGCTAAGCCCACAGTTTAGAAAATGCAGGCACATATTTTGCCTTATTGTATTTATTATTTGTCCTGTGAAATTTTATTAAGACAATGAAAGTTTATGTGATTTGAATTCTTTTGCAAGGCACTGTAGTTAATGTGTACTTACAATGAGTAGTTGGCATTTGGATAGGGAAGGCCAGGCTGAGATAAGAAACTGCACAGATGAGTGAAATGATCTGGACATGTCTGTAAAGAAAAAAACAATGAACAAGGTGAAAAATAATCACACTCAATGATACAAATAATCTTAGTGAATCCATATATCTAATAAAAGATAGGACACTTTTTCATTTTCCAGTTAAATGTACTTGAGAATAACAAGGGAAATCAATTTTTGTGATGCTGGAAGGTATGCATGGTGTTGGTTCAGCTGAACATGCTCCATTGATTCAAAACCGAGCCACTTGGCTGCATTACCTTGAAACAAATGCTCTTTTTGTGCTATTATGTTATATATTGCCTTGGGGTCTTTCATGACTTTTTAAATCTTATTAGTCACATTTTTTTTATTCTTTGTTTTCCTCTTAGATCTGTGTTTAACTCCTGATGTATCATTTCCTCCTCTTCTGTGTTGGTCTCTTCAACCTGCAACATATAAGCCCAGCAACTCACAGTATTGAGCAGTGGAAGCTCCTTCCTGTGTCAAACCTTTCTTTCAGCACTGTGGGGCATATATATTACAATATATCATATATATTATAATTTATCAACTAAATTAATTCTTATAACTTACCCACAGTCAGCTATTAGTGTATTAATAAGGCTACATGTTGGATTTTTTTCTATATTTCTTAACTAACCAAAGCTAATATTAATATGTAAATATAAAAATGTATGATCTCTATAATCATCAGAACATCTAGCAATGTCGTTTCTTGGAGTTACACAAAATATTTGCTTGCAGCTAAAACTGAATAATTTTGTTTTAAGGAAAGAATGTGATCTGAGTGAACTGTGTATGCTTTTGAAAATTACAGGAGCCAGTGAAAATAAATAAAAAAGTAAATGAAAGCCCAACCAAACAGCAGATTTTTCTGGTTTTTCAAAGGGAAATTGGTGCCGCAGGCTTCTGACCTCAAGCTATTTATCACCTCCGTGAGGTAATGACACAGTGTCTCAGCCCGAAGGCATCCGTCCAACCCTCCGTCACCAGCCCGAGTGTGTTATTAACCCAGCAGGCATGACAGGATGTCTGAAGTGACCTCACACAACCTCTGGGAGAACTGGAAACGTTCCTCCATCGTGGAAAAGTCCTGCTTTTGTACTATTTCTTTAACACATCAATTATGTATTCTTTTGTCAAACCAAATTTCACATATAATCTTCTTTAAAGACGTCCGTTTTTTCAGCTTAGCTTTAAATTTAGAGCAAATGTTTAATGTATCTCTCATTTTAGTAGATCTCTCTTCTATAGATTACTATTTCATTAACCCCCTGACAAAAAAATTTAAAACAACAGAGGCCTATTGCTGAGCTAAGGGGTAAATCGCAGTATTTAAACTGGAAACTCACCTATAATGAGCCATAGGTCCTGAAATCAGTGATGGGGATATGGAGATGTGGAGATTCTCTCCCTTTTGGAGACTCAAACGGCCATGTGTTAGTATGGATGTATTGGTTAGTTGAGTGTCTAAGAAAAGCTTGTAAAAGAGGCTAAAACTACTAAATACTCTAAAGAAGTCAATAAGTCTTGGCAGGAGATCAAACTTTAAAAATTGAGTCCATAAAAACCCATAATTCGTTTCACAGGGTTACAGGATCAATAAATATCTTAGCTAAAATCTATACTTCCTCCAGTTCTAAGGGTCAAGTCATGGTTTTGATGGCTACCTGACAGCGTTCATTAATGCATCAACTGATTTACCCATCGATGGTTTCAACTAAATTCCTGGAAGTACAAAGTCCTTTTCCAGCTGCTCCCTCTTTCAGGAATAGTCACAAAGAGACATCACAATTGCAAACGGACTTGGCAAAGGTTTTACACCAGATGCCCTTCCTGATGCAAACAGGGATTCAAACCCAAACCCCCATAATCACCCATCATTATTAGCAACCCTTGCAGAAACTGGAAGCAGGGTATCGTGCAGAAAAGTAGTAGCCTTTTTATGCACTGGTAAATTAACTTTCAAGTAGATGCTATTTCAAAATGTTTTTCCACTCAGAGGACTTGGGAAGACCCATTTCAATGAAAAATGTTAATTGAAAGATTTAAAGCCAAAACCAAACACTGCATTTAAAAGGTTATAGCCTCTGGAAAAAGACTGAACTGAAAAAACTTAATGAAGTTTATAATATCTTCTTTTATATCAAATACTGTCTTTAAAATGAGTCGGCGCAAACAGACCTCATTGACTTTTGTCAAATGAAATGGCCTTCTCTTATGGCAATATAATTGCAGTCTGTTTTCCTGGCAGCTGGGGGGACTCTACAAGGCTGGTATCACTATTAGTATTCTTGACAAGAAAGCGTCTCATAAAAGAGCACGTACTGAGCCAAGCAGACAGCTGCACACTGTGCTTTCACTTCATACTCTCTCACAAAAGGCCTCATGGAAAATTAAAGGACAGGCCACTGGCACACTCGTGCACCGTTTCCCTTTTCTTTAACTCGCTCTTTTCATGGATGGAAGGGGAAGTTTTTATAGCACTTAGGATCGCTGTGCACCAGGCTTTGTAGAGGAGAAACAGCAACATTAAGACCCAAGACACCGAGTTAAATGGTCTCAGTGTCAGGCTTACATGTTCATTTGTGAATTTAGGTTGAATCGTTCCATTAAAATCTGTTCTAGTTGTAATTGTTGTTACTTCACATTTGAATACCATGGTTGAAATGCAGATTTAAAAATGTACGACCTCCAAAATTATTAGAAAATCTAAGAAAGTTGTTTGCTGGAGTTTTACTAAATATTTGCTTGTGAATTCAGGTCGACGACAGAAGAAAAAAAACTGCCCTTGTCAGATATTGTGCCAGCCGTCGATCCCATTTGCCGCTGAAAGCCTGCAACACCTCTTGTTTAAATGACAGCAACACTGAAGATAAGTCAAGCTGAAATCGATGCCACCCACTGCATTTAGGGGTGTGCAAACTGCAGCAAATGCATTATCCAGGCTTTTTCTCCTGTCAACACAGATTAGCTCCAGCATATTGTCTTTAGTACATGAGAATATGATAGATCCACGTTTCCTTTAAATATAATGCAATGATAAATGAAAAGCAACATCTTTTTGCAAATTTTGCACAGTAAAGAAATTTCCCCTGTATATCCTGGGTGGTCTCTGCAGAGTTTTGCATCACTGTCTAAGCAGGGAAATCTTGTCCCTCCTCCTAATCAACAAGCCAGAAAATGACTCCTGAACTCATTTCAGCCGGGTCAAACACGTCTCTCTGATTGATGATCTGTGAGATCGGAGGAGTGCTGAGCTAGAACAACACTCGTCTTCTCTTAAGCACAATAACGTTGGGTTTTACAAGGTGTAAATCTGGGGTTCTAGCTTTCCTAATCTCACACCCAATCTACCTTAGATTTTTGGATTTTTTATTTTATTACTTTGATTGCACCAGAATAAAAAGCAATATAAGGTACATACCCTTGTGTATGGCACCAATAAAGCTTAAATATGACATTGTGCACACACAAAATGAAAAAAATAAAACTGTCAACTGAACCCTAAAAAACAATGTTTTATTCTCGCTTTAGCACTTAAAAACCATTAAATGATCCAGTTGTTTAAAAAAAATAACGCTCTCTAAATGACTTCAATTAAAGCTTTTTTGGTAGCAATATGCATTCTGAAAGGTTATATTCTAGCAGTGATTGTTTCATACTCCTAACCAGGTAGTTTTGGGGTCTGAAATACCTTTAAACAAATTTTTTGCCTTAAGCTATTGGAATAAAGTCACTCATATTTTCCAGCAGTTTTTAAACTTTAAACATCCTGTTACTGTTTTAGTTTTTAGCCATGATGTAAGCTGATGGGACAATGTGGAGGGGTTACATACATGTGTCTGCGGTGACACTGTTCAAAGCAGTGTGCCAAAAAGGCACTCAACCAATACATTTGACCATTATAATAGAGGTAAGTTGTTGTTTGTTAGGACATTTTCTTGTAAGTCTTCCTTCCTGGTCTTTTATCTCTAATCTGATTAGAAGTGTTTAAAAAGTATCAAGTTAACTATTAAACTACTGTCCACTAAAATCATGCAAAACAATTATTCTGAACATTAAACTATGCTAAAGACTAGTCTTTAGTCTGCACGGATCATAGATGGGATAAAATGACCATATTTAGTGGAACATTTTAGCTTTTAAGGTAACTTAAAAAGGTTAGTAAAGAATGTGAAATAAGCAAAGTCTTTATATGAGGTTAATTATCTGTGAGAGAAGTTAAGAATATTAACTCAGCACCATAACTCTGCCCTCTTGCATCTTCCGCTTGCACATATCCAAGAAAAACCACCAGGATGTCTAGCCACAACATTACTATGCCAGAAAGCCACCCACCATGATTCACCATCCCGTGGGTCTGGAAAAGCTTCAGACTATGTTTCCACTTATTTTCACTCTAGTACCTGATTATTTTAAAGGAATGTTTTTTTCTTTGTAAAACCACCTAGCTTAGGACTATAACTCAGTTAGTTGTTTTATGTTAAGTTTTTTATTTGGACAGTTCTTTCCTAAGTCCATTTAAAATAGGATACTATCAGGAAAAAGTACCGGATAGATAATAAAAAAGGAATCTTAATTATGGCAGGAAATCTACTGATTACAAGCACTTAAAAAAATTACAAGAAACCCTAATTACTTATAAAAAAAAAAAAAAAAAAAAAAAGGAAAATGCATACTTCATCATGAGTGAGTCTCAGTATCATGGACTCAGCTACAAAAACAGGATGGTTGTGTTAAAATTACCTGGAGATAATAAAATAACATATTTAGAGATAATAATACAAAAGTGAACTGAATTGATGAACCTGATGCTGATCTGCTGTTTCACCATTACCAGCAAGCAAATAGTATCATATCTGAAAGTTCATGACTACTTATTTTGGTGCAGTTAAACATTTTACATTGTTTATTTTTTGGAAAAAGGTGCAAAATCATGGTTTATTCACCAAAACAGTGAGGTTTCAAGCCACATACCCTTCTTCAGAGTCTCAAGAAGGCCATTGTTTGTTTTTCCCTTATCCTTCAGTCAAAAAACTGGAATATTATATAACCAGAAACTACTGACATGAGACTAAATAATTGAATTTGACCCCAGGCTCTATGTGTGTCCATTACTGAAAATCACCTGTGCATCAAGCTGAACTCCAGAAAGCAAAGTTTGGGTACAGGAAAGCACTCAAGACTGAAAGCAGCTCACCAGGCCTCCAGGCATATAAAACCTTTTTCTTATGAAGCTGTGAGAATTAATCAAGTTAAATTTTAATGTTCTTTTGGTTTGTTTTTTTTTTTTCTTGATAAAAAGTCTGATTAAAAGGTAGTAGTCTTTCTCGGCTTTTGTTATTTAGTAGATGTATCCTTGTGGTCACCGTCACAAAACGTAGTGTGTGGTTGCTAGGGATTACGAATTCCTGCAAACTTCAGTAAGTAGGGCTTCTTAAGATAGAAAGGTTTGGACTGAAGCTTCATCCACATGTAGACAAAAAGCTCAAAACTACATAAACTTTCGCTTTAAGAAAAAAGGCAGCTCAGTAAATGTGTGCCTTCACACAAATAAACTCAAAATACATGAAAAAGCTGTGGAATTATGCCAGACCTATTGGTGGTGCTGGAATGCAATGATAGAAACAAGCTGGGAAGGGAATTGGGCATGTACGCAATAATTTTCTGAGGGTGGTGCATGACTGTTTTAATCCCAAACTGCCCACAGCACTACCTCTTATCAAGTGTTACTCCCAATGAAGTCAAAAAAGCACAAACAGGAATGGGACGGCCCCTTCCCTCCAACAGAGAAGGAAAGCAGCAGTTTCTATGGAAACACAGTGACGCCCCCGTGAGCATGGCTGTAGTTCTGGGGTGCAGGTTGACATGATTTTACCAGCTGCCAAATTCCAGAGAGCCTGCACTGATGCAGAGTCGCGGTCCAATCGCCCCATCTACTACATGGTTTGTGACGGCCCTTAATGTGCCAGACACTCCACAGGAACGGAGGGTTAGTGCTTAGGGGAGGTGTTTAGGAGGTGGTTTGGGATTGGGCACTCGTCTACAGGTAAGACAATAGTGCAAGTGTCTCTGATAGAGATGCAGTGATCAGAGATGGAGTTTAAAATATTTTCAGTCTTGGATCTAGTGGAATTTTTTTTTTTACAGACCCAAAACACGCTGGCTTCATGTGGAATGGTACATGGGTTTGCTAAAGTATATTTCTGTTTAGACCTGAACTTATCTTTGTTGGGCGTGAATCCTCCTAAATGTAATTGGCTCTTTGTCTTACTTTATGATTGGATTATATTCAAATTAACTTGACTCATTTCAAATAAATAAAGACTGGATTATATAGTAATATCTAAACTATGGGATGAATTCTACATCCTGTGCCACCCTAAGCTTCTTCACCATCCCATGGGCTCCCTCTGTGAACATTTGCTCGATGCTCTTAACTGTCTTTGAGAAGTTTTATGCATGTTCTGCATATATAAAGACACTCCACAACTTCTCGCTCTGAGTTCCCATTTTTAAGTTTTATACCTAGTCATTGGTCTCGCCTTGGGTTTTAAACTTCAGTCTTTAATGTTTTAGATCCATACCTGCTTGAGCACAACTGGTTTCCATAAGTGGCTGTTTAACAGGTTTTTGCAGAACCGCAATCACCCAGATAAGGTGTTAAGCAGAGAAGCATCTATAAGTAGCTCATAAGTCAGCTCATACCCCTGGTTAAGCATGTTTCCTTGTTAGTTTTGGTTCATGCTTTCTTTTTTTTACAGAAAAGCTTAGATTTATGACAAGCATCTCCTGATACATGGTAGAATTCATTAGGGATCAGGCGGTGAAGTCCTCATAATATTCCCAAAGTAGGACACGTCCACCTCCATGCTTCACAGTTAGCCTGGGAGTCTTTTCCTGGAATTTTGGATATGGTTTAAAACCAATATATCCTCTGCTCTGGATTCCAAATAATAATTAACTTTAAAACCCATCAAATTAACTTGGATCAAAAAGTCCTGTTCTTTTGTCAATGTTCTGGAAAACCTCCATGCATTTCTCTGAGAACAAGTCTCCTCTCTACTCACTTTCAATCAAAGCAGACATTTTCTGATTGTACTGACATTCACATTCATGTCAACAACAGAAACAGCCTTATGTGTAATTAACTGTTTTTTAAGAGGAAGTAAATCTAAGGATGCCATACATCAGCTTTTGCAAAAAAAAGGAATGTTTTTCAAAATTACATTTTCATAAAGATCTGAAATATACTCTCTTCAATTGTACTTATATTTCTTGAAACAATCAATATTGTTAAATTTGATTGTAAAGATTCATATGACCAAATATTCAGATCCATATAACCAAATATCTTAGAAAAACACACAGACGATCATATGATGTCTATGGAAGAGGATTAGGGCCACTGAAGAAGTTTAAAAAAGTTAACCGATTTTTCAATTTTATTTCAGTTTAATATGGGGAAATTGGATTGGGAATATGGGAATTCTGACTTTTTTTTTCAGAATTCTGACTTTTTTCTAATAACTCTGACTTTAATCTCGGAATTCTGACAGTTCTCCCATATTAAAATCAAATAAAATTTAAAAATCAATCAACTTTTTTTTTTCAGTGGCCCTAATTCTCTTCCATAGGTGTCCCTCTTTTAACATAAGCATATAACTTTTCTTGCCTTGCTATTTCTTCATCCTCAAATTATCCACCTCAGATATTTAATTGTATGCATACAGGTTAACCTGTAAAGGACGTACAATGAAAAGAAACAGAAATTAAAGTGTAAATAAAAAGTTTATCTATGAATTCCACTTTAAAATAAAATAAAAGCCTCTTTATATCGAAGCAAAGTTTAAAGCATTAAGGGCTGGTCAAAAGTTTTGCGCAGTGATGCACCTCACATGTTACTGCTGATGAAATTAACTCCTCTCCGTTTTAACGCAACGCGCCAAACAGAGCGATATTTGCACGATATGAAATCAAATAGACACTTTTAAAGGTATTACGGGAACCAAAAACCATACCTGGTAGTAATCATCATTTCAGCTCATGCAGGACGGTCTGACCTCTCTGTACAAGTGGCTTTTATCCGTCAGTTCCTCTCTGCGTGCTGCAGTGCGCCTCTGCACAGGTAGGAAGGAGCTGGAGATGCAGCCGCGCGCCGACAGTGTCAGAGGCTCAGGGGGGAAAGGAGGGATGCAGGAGAATGAGGCGCTACAAATGAAACCATGAACTGCCCATTTCCTCCCTCTCCATCCAGGCATCGGGATGGAGGTGACGCAGGCTGCTCGGGGGGAGGGGGGGCATTAAAGCCCATATGCCAGTTTAGTGCAAAGAGATGGATGAACCAGGACAAACTGAGCTGGCAACAACTGCTGCAGGTTAGAATAACTTTGGTTGAGAGTTTAAAAAACATTTTTTCTTACTGTTAATGAAATAATCAAATATAGCAGATTTGTTGTTGTCTATTTTCAAACCCTCATTTTGTGTACTATTGTCCAAATGATTGCACTGATCAAAAATATTTAGAACAGAGGTGTTGGGTTCATGGGCGATTCTAGACAGGAGCCAACAGGGGCCACACCCCCTGCACTGAAAACATACACTACGAAAACAGAAATATAATTAGGTTAATTTTCTTTTAGATAAGTGTATTTTTCTTTGATTAGAGCAGCATTTGGACAGTTTACCAATGGAATGAGATGATTTGCTTAAAATAATAAACTCAAATTCAAGGGCATGATATTTATCTTATTTTTAACATTAAAACTATTTAATCCTTTGGCAGATGATCACAATAACCTGCTCAAATTAAGGGCAAATAAACTTATTTTAAGAAACGTTAACTAATTTTAGATTAGTTTTTGTCTTGTAATACTAAATAGATTTATCATGATGATATGTGCTGACAGTAGAGACTGTAACTGATTTGTCCTTTGGAGTTATTTCATTTCACCTGTACCATTTACTTTAACAATTATAGCCATCATATTCTTCTAATGTTTCACAATCGTCTTCCGATGTTCTAAAACTGTCTTTTCCTGATACCAAACAAGCCTAAAAAAAAAATGAAGAAAACATAGTCTTCTCTTTATTTTAGCTGTTGGCTGTGTTTTTTTGTTTTGTTTTTTCAAAACAGACAGATCAAATTGTAACAAGTAACCTGCCTTAGGAACTGTAATAATATTGACAAAATGTAGTTTGTAACGCTTTCTAATACTTCAGGCAATGACAATACTTGTCATTGCCTGACATGCTAAGGTAATACGTTACTTTTGTCATGCGTTACCCCAATACTGGTGCAGAATTCAGATCTCAAGTTTTCAGGGAGTTGGTTCCAGAGTTGAGTAGTGGGAAAAAGCTAAATGCTTCCAAGCAGTGAAATCAACTCCCTGATAACCTGAGATATACAGAAAGTTAGACATTTAAGGTTTTTATCAAAGAGCTGAGTAGTACATAAAATATAAAAACTCCATGAAAACCTGAGATGTACAAAAACTACTCAGCTTCTGGACTATTATATATATATATTTTTTAACTACAGTCTACTCATTATGGTCAAAATGTCATAAAACGAGACAGATAGACCCTGTATTAAAGGTCAGACAGACAGTGGAAAGTCAAAATGTTTATTAACCCATAACACAGGAGCAGGAGGGGGGTGGGGCACTGCCCAATCTTTGATACTCTGGAGGGAGAAACCCATCTAAGTGACCACGATCATCTGACCGAAGATGTTTATCCATGTGAGTCACCAACCTGGTGTACCAGTTCAGTCCATCCTCTCCGAGAAAGGTAGGAACCAGCCGATAGACTGCAAACGAATTGCGGCGCAGAACCGCCCGTAGTGTTCTCGATGCAGCAACCTCAGTGACCAGGCAGAAATCTGATCCAGTTCAGTGAAAGTAGATCAGACAGGAGTCCGCAGCCCAATCAGGGGTTCCCATCCATACAGAACAAACAGAAAGATCCAGGGTTCCAGTAATCTACAAAGTGGGAAGTCAGTTTCAGAGTTCCATGAGTCCAGCAGCGAGCTCAGAGCTCAAAAAGACACGCTCAAATTGAGACAGGCAGGCTCAGTGGTTGAGAGACAGAGACAAGACATGGTACCAGGACAACTGCGAAACTTTAAACTGGTCTCCACCTAGGAGCCAGGACTATGGGACTTTAAACTAGCTTCCCTTCCTTCTCTCTCCCTTCCGGCCAGCCAAAATAGGAAGATAAAGTGATCGGCGAGAAAGAGCCAGGACACGATCAGGAGAAGACAAGACCAACACCAAAACCCTCTCAACCCACTGGCCTCCAGGGATAGGGACATGAATCTTGGAAAAACAAGAACTAACGAAACAAACATCAAACAATGATCTGGCCCCAATAGCTGGGCTGAGCCATATATAAATCGACAGAAGCAGGTGGATAAGTTGATGAATGATTTGGAACAGGGCAGTGTGAGGCAGATGAATGAACACGAGGCAGATCATGACACAAAAACTGTTTTTACATGTTCATTTTAATGATTTGCAATTTATAGCTTCCTCACTTTTGATCCTTTATTTTCCAGTAAATCACTTTCAATTACCCCATTCATGAATGGAACCCTGCTGTAGAAAAATGTTTTTTCTTCATGCAACTTAGAAATTTTAGCCACATTGAAATCAACAACATAGTTTTTTAGACACAAACACTAAAACACTGATAAACAACACAAACAGGGGCAATTACCTGTAGAATATCTGACGCTATTTAAAAGCATTCAAAATTCTCAAACAGAGAATAGAAGTGAGTTTAACAATGGGGGTGCAACATATGAGAAGTCCTTTTTGCTAAACAGATCAGACAGATGGAGAGCCAAGTATTAAGAAGTCCATAAAGCACAAGTTATAACTCCATTGTTCATTGCATATAAAAGGGGACAAGTATGATGGCCACTGAAATTGAAAAAAAGGTCAAAGAGGCAAGCAGTGTCAGATTTAATGTACATAGCTCTCCATCATAGCCAGTGCAGAAGACATTTTATGACAAATATAAAGCAACTTTTTAAGTATAGATGTCCACATTGTGTCATGTCATAGCCACAATCTTCTATATATTGCATCATGTGCAGTGGGTCTAAAATCATACATGGTTTTATAATTAATTTACAGATAAACATTTTAAAACTGCGGTATTTGTTTGTATTTAACCCCATATACAATGTAGCCAAAGCAAATAAATCCTCTACGGCAAATTGCCATAAGGAGTCTATCCTTATGTAGTATGAACCCATCTGTTCACAGATCAGTGAAAATCTGAGGTTTGTTAGAGAACATGAGAGAAAAACATCATCATGGATATTAAAAGGCATAGAAAGCAGATTTCTGAATAAAATCCAGTGCACTAAGGAAGGAGCTGAGCTGTCGGGGAATCCTGGCCAGGGAAAATGGATGTGGAATCACTGGTTAACTAAATCAAAGACCACATAAATAAAAAAGATCAAATTCAGCCTAGACATTTATAGAACCACAAACACAACCAAAATCTATAATAATTCAAAATATAAGAACCCTGTCATGTCTAGGTGAAAATCTTCTGAAGTGAAATTAAACTCTTTTCCAGATGGAAAAAAAACTGCAAAAAAGAATTAACAAAGGACTTTTGTTCAGGAGGTTTTTCAGCTGTTTTTGCAGCTATCATTGAGAACATATCTCATTTCAGGAGACTTAAAGGAAAAACTCCTAGGTTTTTACTTTTATGAAGTACAATCAGATTAGTTTATTACAAGGGTTTGAACTGATTCCCTGCATCGTCAGCAAGTCTTCAGCATGGAGGGGAAAGTGTGCAGCTCTCTACAAACAGTGAATTGTGCTTTGTGGTGGACGTTCTCTGACTGAGCTGCACCTCTTGGCTCTGCACACCTGAGGAATCTCACACCCAGGTAACAGTCTAGGGAGGAAATGACAGAGCTCAAAGCAAGTGAGGATCACAGGTCTTGCTCACCGAACTGGTCAAAAGGGCACAAAAGTGCATGTGCTTTCTGCAGAGGATGAGGAGAGCCCAACTGCCCCCACCCATCCTCACTACCTTCTACAGAAGCACCATAGAGAGTGTTCTGACCAGCTGTCTCACTGTTTAGTGTCCAAGACACGCAGAAGGTCATCGGGGCTCCTTTTCCCTCAATTAAAGACATTTCATTACAGCGCTGTGTGTCCTGAACCCGTAACATTAACAATTTAAATGACCTCTGACACCCCATCATGGATTGTTCTCCCTGCTGCCCTCTGGTAGGAGGCATCAGACAGCTGAACTGTTGAGAAAACTCTAAATCATGTCACAGGCTCTGCATCAAACTGACAACACCAAACCAAAGATACTCCATATTTACTGCTCTGAACTTCCATATCAATGTGTTGTTTTGCATTATGTTTTTTCTTCCACACTGTTTACATTTGATCACTGCTGCACTTTAAGAAATGGAAATGTCATGAAAGCTACATTAAATTTAGTTTTGTATACACTATGTGTAAACAAAAAGTCAGTAAAAGACTAAGTTTAAGTTGCTTTGACTTGGACCAGCTATCACATTGACTCAGATGACAATTAACTCTATAGATTGACTCTACAAGCAGTAGAATAAAACCATACTCATTGTTGGAATTCCTTCTATACAGATATCAAAGAGAAATGTAACCTCTTTATGTGAATATAAAAAAAAAGAAAAAGTAAGAAAAGACCCAAAATCCATGCAGTTGAATGCAGCTTTGTTGGATACTGAGAGGATTAACCAAACATGCACATAGTCCCATCACAAAAAAGTCACAGTTATGGAGGGTAAAACCGCCATTCACTAAACCTAAGCCTTAAAGAGAATCTGTGAGCAGAACTGCAGCTGAGCTATAAGATTACCTTTGAGGTTGCATGATGAAGAGAAACTGAGCAAAGAAAAATAGTCAGAGATCCAAGATCCGATGACAGATGTTTTCTTTTTCCAAAGGTTCCTAAATTCAATTCAATATTGAGGCTTTGATGAGGCTTTAATAGATTTATGAAATTGGAGACTTATAAATGCTTATGTGGAGTCAAGAAATCTCTACAAAAATCAAAATTATTTCTTCATACTCTAAATTGTAATAATGGAAAATCCTTGCTTGCAAAAGAAATGATTGTCTATATTATAAAGCAATACTTTTTACTTAAAGATGTTCTTGCTTTTTCTTGAAGCCATAGACAGAGCCATTCGATAAATTGGAATTAAAAGTGAATTTATTTCAGTAAATCAGCTCACTAAGGAAAACTTTATGTAAATTAATGAAACACAAACATAAGCCTTGGTTTTGAAGTGTTTCTCTCTGTTCATTACACACTGAAATAGTAATGAATAATAATAAAAACAACTTTTAAGATTGGAACACAAGATCAGAAAAATAGAGAAAAATATTTCTAATACAGGAATGTTGGCTTTATGAAAATTATGATTAATAGCTGCTAAAAGGTTATTATTTTGGGAAAGTCACTGTCAACCACAACACTGGTCTGGAAAATTGATGCTATTTGAAGGAATTAGAGCTCAAAAGAAAGTTTGTTTTGTAATTTAAACCACAATAGATTACAGACATATACAAATATCCCCTTGCAGCTGACTAAATTTGCCCAAACACAGTTAAACATGTAGGCAGGCAATGGTTCAGAGCAGCATAGAGGCTAAAGTTACTTTTTCCAGCAGCCTTCAAACATCCAGCCTATAATCAGACTGTATCATTACACTGAAGCTGCAGCTTTAGATCATGCTCCGAGTCCAGAGCAGCACTTAGATTTAGTTTGAAACTGTCTTCAGATGTTCTGGAAGTCCATGGGTTTTTAAAACAGTATTTTATATGCAAACTGTTCACCATGTTTTCTGTTTCAATTTTAACATATTCTTATAAACAGCTTTACCTTTGAAAAGTCTGCTGTTTTACAAGTAGGAGTCCCATCCAGGTGGCTCTCATTAATGTTTGTGGTTGAGGAGCAAACATGACTCAGCTTAGCAGCAGCAGAGCCTCCAGTTTATTCTCTATGCATCCCCGATTCTGCTTGAGTCATGCAAGTGGTTTCATTTTAACTAGATTACCAGAACTGCTGTCAATTTACCCACAAGGCAGAAATTATGAGATGGACAACTTAAGGCTAAAATCAGCACTTTCTGTGAGCAAATGGAAACATAGAAAACGAGACAAATGAAGTCATGCATCAATTCTCCACTGCACCTCACCTAGCTGCAGACTCAAAACCATACAATGACAGAAGAGATGACAACTCTTAAGCTTATTTTTCCTCCCATAAAGTCAAAACCTCAAAAAAAAAAAAAAAAAAAAATCCTGTTTCCGCTGACTGGCAACTTTCATTCCCTCATGGACGCAGAGGTAAACTGGTTCAGGAGGGGCGAGTCTGGGAAAATGTGCAGCACACATCCCACCACAGGCCAAACCAAAAGCTTTCTGAACCTACCCACCAGAAATGAGGGTATAAAGATCCACTGTGAAATATCATCATAAATTTATGATCTGCTACTTGTTGGTTTTGTCTGTCGATGAATGAAGCTATAGTTACTTTACCAGCTGAAGATCTGGCATAAAAATGACTTGGTTTCATGGTAAATCAATACATGTGGTTGACCAGATGGAAAAAGAAACCTTCATAGGCTGCTCCTTCCATATGTTACATACAAATCCATAAATCACATTTAATGAACTGGTTATTTTATTCATACATATTAAGGTAGATATTTATGCCAATAGTCCGTAAAAGTGAGAATGTTGGTTTTTTATGAGCTTGTAGTGAAAATGTTTTTTATTCCAAAGGTCTAAATGAGATGTAAGGGATGAGGGAACGATGCATGCTTTAAAAATGAAAGCAAAGTGAAAGTGAAGAAGCAACACACATTTTCTATTTAGAATTAATATCAAGAGGCCTTAACCTTAATGGGTGCCTTTAAAAAGCTGCATGTAAAATTAAGTGTTAACAACCATTTTCCAACTTTTATGTTAGAACCACAAAATTCTATCTTTTCTTCACATTGTATGTATTGTCACATTTTTATAGGGGTGGCCAGACAGAAACCAATATGCAGTGAGGGGTGGACAGGTCCATTGTCATTTCTAACCTACATTTCTGAGAAAAAATGTCCACCAAATGTTATCAATAATTGTTCTGCATAATATCAATATTTACATATACTTTTTTAAATTAATTTATTTTTTTAACAGTGTCCTGTCTGACAATATGGCAATAAGAATAATTGTCTTGATGCCAAAAAGAGCCCAACAGATCTTACTTTTACAAGGGGAGCAGCTTTATTATAATTATGCAGGGAGTTTTACAGATTATATGGACAATGTAATGTAAGTAGAACAGAAGAGGAAAAACAGAAAAGAAAGGAGGAAGAGATGAAAGAAAAAGGAGATAAAAGGGAGATAATGATAAGACATGATATATATTTATATATACTAATACTAACATTAAACAGATTTAGTTATCTCTGATAACACTGAAGACCGATAGATGACTCGTAGAGATGCATCATTTTCTCTCTACCACATAAAATACAAAATCTAGTTCTGAAATGTATTTATTTTCTTAAATGTTAGTATATTAATGTGAATAACGATATTCTTCTTGTCCATTTTTTGTTGACAAGAAATTAAATTGTAATATTACTTTGAACATTCCACAGTATTACATATGTCATCATCTGGCCAATGATTGGCTAAGGGTGACTGTGGTCACCCCTTGTCCCCCATCTAACTACACCCCTGAGGATGAGAGCATAACCATGTATAGGAATAAAAAAAGTCTAATTAATTCTGAATGATTTGGCATGTAGACATGTATTTTGCTCCTTTTACAACGGAAAACCCAAATTAATTCCCCCTACCAGTTCCCTTCAACTTCAACATTAGATCATCTGATTAGTAGTTCTGCTGCAAATAAACAGTTTATTTCTGCAGCTTATACCGAGTCTGATAGAATAGATTAGATGTAGTTTATTAATCCCAGACTGGATAATTACATTTGCAGAAGAAAGGTTTGAAAGAACAGGATAGATATTAAATTTAAAGGGGAAATAAAATAAAGGTAGCCTGAAATATTTTTTTGCTCCTGAACCATAAATTAAAAATGTTATATTAATTGCAATAATTGGGAACAGCGATCATCTGGTATCTGAAAGTTTTTAAGGGATGACAATGAACAACAGCTCCGCTGATGCCAATCCTTTTCTCTGCAGCCTGGTTTAGTTTCTAAATGATTTTTCCTCCAACTTATTTTCCATAGCTGGTAATAAATCTGTAGATTAAGTCATACCTGCAAACTTTAACACACCACAGGTGCAACCAGTGGTGCCAGAAAGGAGTCAAACGAGGTGAGCGAGGACTATGTTAAAACTATGCCGTCTGTATAGTCTTCTCCTCCCAGACTGTTTCCATGTCTCCTTAAGGTTTCCCAGACATTTTGGAAAGACAGACTCATTTGTCTGATGCTTGAAGTGTTGGAGAGCTATACGCTGGTCTGTCTGGGCATTGGTAAAATAAAATAAGCCCATTTTTGCCTTAAGCCCGATCCAAAACAGGCAGCACCCATTTCCATTCCTAAAGTTGCCAATACCACTAATAATCTCATTTTTTTCCTAAAGTCACAGACTCACTAGATGAAGCCTGAAGTAAACCAACAGTTATTGCTGTTCTGCTGCTTTCTTGGCTATGAGAACATCTTAATCCTCACTGCCATCTGTTATAAGATATACAAAAGCTTTAAATTGTTAAGCTGCCATTTTAACACTTTATAACGCAATGTGTGGGCTTGGTTAATGTGATTCGCTTTAAAGCATCAACATTTTTTGAGTTTAAATATTAATGCTTAATGGAGGGCAGATTGACTATGGTTTGAGAAAGGATGATTAAAACTCAGGGGTCATGGGTGATTAAAAGATAATCCAAGATAATTTTAATTTCCTAAGCTGCTAAATTTGGCATTAGATTTGACACGCTCAAAATTTAAAGCTAAAAATTGCTACACTAAGCTAAGAAAAATCACTGTATTTTTTTGTGAAGGCATAGAACTGCGGGGTTTCTCGCTAAAAATATGCTTTTCACAATAAAAGTTTTCCACTTTGATATTTAATACATCTTTTTACTGAATGGCAATAAAACACAGGCCAGAAAACAATCCATATTATGGTGAAAAAAAAAAAAAACAACCTAGAATAATTCAGGAAAAACATGTTGCACAGATACAACGTTCACAAATGTTTTAAATGCAGAAACACAAATTTTAAGTCCGTTTGGCCTCCTTAAGGTGTCTTCCATTAATGATGTAATCCGACCAAGAAATAGACTCCTGGCAGAATATGCTCAGCGCGCCGCTAAGAACCGAACAGAATGAGGAGGTAGAAGTCTGACAGTTATGTTCAGTACCAATAGGACTTCTGGTGCCTCCTGTCTTCCTGAATACCCAGTTTCTCCATGACCTCCTCTTCCAGAGTTTTCAGAGTTGGAACGTAGGTTTTTTCAAGAGTGTCTTCAGGACTAGTGTCTTTGGGTCCATCTGCGTGGAAACAGAAAGTAGGAGATAAGTGGGTATCAGTGCTCTCCTCAGAACCTTCCTTCTTTCCAAACCATTGCAAACCTCAAAGGATTTTGTGGGATGAACTACTCCTGCTCTGCAGAACTTAAAAGGCATGCAGAGATGCAATCCTTTTCGATCATGTGTGCAGAAGCAGGACCCTGACTAACACTGAAAACACACAGGGGATTCTGCCAACATGGCAAACATATGAAACAAAGACTATTTAGACTTTCTTTCAATCAAAAAGCAATACAACTCTACAGACACACAAGCCAATTTGATCAGTTCAGAAAAACTATTAAATTAGCAGAAATGACACCATAAAAGGCTATTTGACCATTGTTTACAGCCTTTATGGACCTGATTTCAGAAAAAAAAAACAAAAAAAAAACAAGAACCAAATCTTTCTGTGGGTGTAAGAGATAAACCAGCTGGTTTTGAATGCTGTAACCTGAAATAAACTGACCCCCCCAGTTTAAACTGAACTCATGTTTCACCTTTCCACTGCTGAGGCACAATGCCGTCTCTCCGTTCCACCACAGGTTTAGGGATGATTCGGCCCGTCCTGGTGGAAACTCTCACCCTCTCGCCCTCTTCTGTGTACTTCCACTCCACCTGAGTGGGCTTCCTGAAAAGTGAACGATCAAAGAACATCAACTGATATGGACCGAAAAGATCTGCTACATTGCTTTAAAAGCTGCTGAGTAACACAATATTAGATGGATTCAGAGAGACCTATTTAATTTTTTGTTAACATGTTACTGGTGCATATTTTTCCCTTTTTTGGTTATTTATAAGAGTTAGCTATGAGTCTTTTTGCATGCAACATTTTAATTTTCTAAACAGTGAGTTTCTTTCAGTCCCATACCAATAATCATTGGTATGGGACTGAGGTACTTGAAGCCCTAAATAACTAAGCCCAATTTCATATCAGAGAAATGGTTGTTCCTTATGTTCCTAAAAGATCACTCTCAATCTAAAGGTTTACTAGTGGTTTCTAGAATTTCTAAACGTAGAATGGGAGGCAGATCTTTTAGTTATCAGGCTCCTCTCCTGTGGAACCAACTACCAGTTTTAGTCCATGAGGAAGACACCCTGTCTAATTTTAAGGGTAGACCTAAAACTTTCCTTTTTGATAAAACTTATAGTTAAAAACAGAGTGATGATTGCTTAGTCTCTAGGTAAGTAGAGAATTAGGTGGAGGAAGAGCGTAAACAGCCCCTCGATCCATTGTGGGAGAACTTCAGTCAAGACAGTAGTTTCTCCTTGGCCCTACTGTGGCTCTACCTTTCTTATACCTCATCCAAAATAGTTATCCTCAGCTATTTTCTATCTTTATGCTGCTGTATGACATAGAGACCTTTCTTTTTCTACTTCATTCCATATCTATTCTCCCATTCTGCAGTGTTTGTTCCACTCATAACTTCATGCTCTCTCTGCTTTTTCTCAAAGTAGCTTCATCTGGTCTGTTCCGGTTTGGCGAAGCTTGGCCTGTTTTTCAGTGCAGTCCTGTTTCTTTTTCTGCAACTAACTGTATTTGCTCTCTTTCATCCTCTGACAAGTAAAGCTTGGAGCTTATCTGCCTGGCAGTGTGTTTCCTAGACAGGGCCACCTGTGGAGCTAGTTAACAGTTACCTTTTGTTTCCGCTTCTTTCTGTATACGTTTCTTCCACACTGATATCAGCGGGTTAACCCGAGTTCTTTCAGACATGGGGCAACCTAACAATCGGCATTTGGCTCCCTTCCTATTGGCAAAGGCTTAGTCTAATCCCTAGCTGGCAAGCTGCATGGACTCTGTCCTCCAACAGTTTTGTGTCTGGTGACATCATCACACTGGGTTAGCATTGATGATGTTAGCAGTGTGACAGAAATCAGGAAAGTAAACAATGGAGAGCAACATGCAGCCGGGGTGTAGTCATTGTGCTTTATTGTTTTGTATAATTTGTCTGTCCAAATCCCTCTTACATTGCTGCGGCATGTTTATCGAATGGGAAGAGAGTTTTTTTTGGCTTATTAGATATCAGATCAGATGCGACAGCTGCGGTGTGTCCATACATTGAGCTCAATGATATCATGTAATTTAGCAGGTCAACCTGGGTCTGGTGTTCCCACAGCATGCCGGACAGGGTCGAGTCGATTTTACAATGCTTCGCTTGCCGAGTAGACACGGGTCATTGAGCTCTTCCCACTGCCACTAAAAGCCGATTTGAACAGGTTCTTTGACCCGTAGGAAAGGGGTATAAGTCTGCTTCTATTTCTTTGAAACCGTTTGCCGGTTATGCAGAGCTTGGTTCTGCAAGGTTTCTTCCTGTTAAAAGGGAGTTTTACCCTCGCCACTGACCCTGCATGCATGGTGTGAGGGGTTGCTGAAGAGTCAATGGCAAAATGCAAGAGAAAATCGTTGCCGCAATCTCACGCAGGAGGACCATATACTGCAAGTCAATCACTGGATGCAATCAACTGGGTTACATTAACAGAAACTTTTGACCAATCTGACTGAATTGTCTCTGCTAAGTGCCTTGAGATGATAGGTGTTGTGAATTGTTGCTATATAAATAAACCGAATTGAATTATAATGGGTAAATAGTTTTTCCTTACATTGAATGCTATGTTTTGATTCATTATCTAAGTAACACCTTTATTGTGGTTGTTACATGCCTGGAAAATCTCTGACCTCAAGATAAGTTGTTGTCTTGTTGTGTTTATTCTACCTGTCTGATGGGTCAATCAGTGCGACATCATTGATGAGCAAAGGAGCCTCGCTGGCGATGTAGGTTCCACGGTAATCTCTGCTTTTCCCAATGAACCTGAAATGCTGCAGTGAGAAAAATAGAGGCATTTACCCCAATAGATATCTGGCTCCATCTAGTGGAATTGAGGAGGATCGCTGGGTCAAAAAATAATTTTTGTTTTCCAAATAAAGTTTGATTAATTTCAAGAACTTTCTGTAGAGGAAAACGTTTCAATAAAACATGCAGCATATCTTCCAAATTATCAACAGCAATACGTATTGAAAGACTTTAATAATAAGGCGCACTGGATTCTAATAGGGGTTAACGCAAGTCACAGTTGTCTATAAAAATAAAGAATTGAGAAAAGAAACAGAATAAAATTAAAGCGAGTAACTGTTTGGTTGCTTGTTTAAAAATATCTAAATGGAAAATAAGAGGGATGGATAATTAAATCAGCCTCACTCTTAAGGCTAAATTGCTAATTTCCCCTTTTTTAGGCCAAACCTAGTCTTGTTAAAAAAAAAAATGAAATTGATGTCTTACCGTGTTCAACCCTTCCAAGATGACCCAGTTTCTGTGTCTGAAGACTTGGGTCACCTTCCCCTGCTTCCCTTTCTCCTTCCCAGCAAGAATCTCAACCTGTAAAGACAAAACAACGTAATATTCACAATTTCAATGATATATTGATAAACCAAGTGTGTAAAAAAAAAGTATTCCTCCAGGTGGAATCAGCAGGCTGTTCTATGATAGCCGTCCATCTCTTTTACTTTAGGAAAGTAAAGGTAAAAGAGTTTTGGTCGAAACTAACACAGCTTTTGAATCTACTAAGCTTTTTAAATGATTTTCCTCCCTTACATATTTCTTGATTAGATAGATTTTTTTTCCTTTGTAAATAAATAAAAACACAAATTCGAAATAACAAGTCCATGCAATTTGAAAAAGAAAGTTAACAAGTCAACATGTGGAAAAAATTGTAAAACTAACCCTAACTAGGTGGTTGTGTCACTGTTTGCAGCAACTGCCTTTATACGTTTACAAAAACAGCCTTTATTCTTTAAGATGTAAATAGAGGGATCTAATGTAATCCAAGTGAGATGCAATTAAAAAAAAAGAGTTAAGTTTCTAGAAGTCCCTTGATTGTGTGTGGGAGAGGATTTAAGGTCAGCAACTAGAAGATATGTTTTCTTATTTAAATTAACTGTCTGAGGTCACCCCAAATGTTTCCTGCAAATGAATGCTGGACATTTTAATGGGGTTATATTACTGTCAGATAAAATCAGGGAATCAGGGTTTTTGTTTTATATCCGTTTTAGTAAAGAAAATGAATATTTAATCTTTAGTCCCCAAAAATCTGGATAGAGCTAGAGTTTAGTATTAAGAGATGGAGGTAGATTTTAATATGCTTGTTTACGTTCACATGTTTTGTTCTCAAATAAAACGCTGGGGAAATCAGCCCAGTGGATAAAATGTGCCCATAAAGACTTGATGAATGATCCTGGGTCTGGTTCTCACCATGTCTCCCTTCAGGACTGTCCAGTCCTCTGCTTCCAGCGGCTCCACGAACACCTTCCTCCTCCTCTTCCCCGGGGGATTCCGCCTCTTAGCAGCCTCCGTCCACGGCCTGTTGGTGCCGTAACGATAATCTTTGGGCACCACAACCCGGGCTGCCATCGACAGGAGAGCGGTCAGCCTCATGGTGCTGCAGGAAAGAAATAAAAGCTATCCTCCTTGCCAACAATTCAGAGACACACAAGCTAGGGGAATTTTAGCAGTTAGCTGCCGCTGAAATTAGCTCGTAGTTAATTGCACTTTTTTTCGTTAAACATATCGTGAAACTAGAGCTACAGCTTTTGTTTTTTGTTTTTATAATCATGTAGGTTCTTTAATGAAAGTGAGACTGTTATATGTAGCTTACCCTCTGTTGATGTCAATGTCACATGTAGCAGCAGAACTAAGGTCGCTGTTTAGTTTTAGCGCCACCTGCTGGACAGGAGTGTCTTTTCAAGACTCCACACATGCGCAACTGTCTGTACTGACTGTCCTCTAGGACCCTGGTTTTCAAAGTGGGGGCCGCCAGAAGATGGAGGGGAAAAAAGTAATACATAAAATAATTTTATTGAATGAAAATTATTAAAATATTCCTGTCTGGGTATAACTGCATAATTAAAATCCTTCACATAAAGCTTACAAATAATATTTTCTGGCTGTATGTAAGACAAGAGTTTCCCCACCCTGTTCTGTTTTTGCAAGGTATAAAGAGCCTCATTTAAAAAACAAAAAAACAAAAAGGTTATTAAAATTAACGTGGTGGGTCTATGTTATTGTTATATGTTATTCAATAAATTGATCAATTAAAGGTTAATAAAATAAAAGTCTAACTTCAGCTTTACAAAATAAGTGTGTTTTAATTTAGATGGTTTGTTCACACATTTGTTTATTCTGTCACTGTAGCATACACATGAGTGTTTACGCATGTTTCATATGAGGGGGGGCCTCAGCTGAAAATGTGCTGGTGTAGGGGGGCCTTGGCATGGTAAAGTTTGGGAATCCCTGCTCTAGGAAACCAAGATAGAAGTTGCTGAGCATCAATTTACAGGTTTACGTTTATATTTTGACAGGAGCTTTTTTGTATCTTTGGTTCTTTAGATTTTATTTGTATCAATCCACCCGTCTATTGAAGGACAGATGTATTTATTACAGACTCATAGTCCAGATCACATAGAAACAACTGGCATTAAATAATTATTCCATGTTTAAACACTGCTCATTGTTGAAAAATGGAGAATGCAGGGAAAATTTAAAGGTAGATCATAATTATTCAGTTCTGACCCGAAAATTCAGCAATTCCTGTGTTGTTGTCAGCTTAACTGAAAATGTTCAAAATCTGCAAATCTTCTTACCTTACCTTAGTTTTAAGCCTCTAACTTCTCCTCATATTGATTTATCTTATCTTCAACATTTTTTGTATTGAAAATTAAAAAGAACCTCCTTGAGGAAAACAGAAATAGTGATTTTCTTAGCATAAAATCTAAAATTTCTCCCTGGAGAGTTGACAATTCCCTAGGATCTTGCCTTTATCCTAGTGCTTAAGAACTGCTACTCTGCCCCATATACACACCATTCCTCTGGTGCCGACCTGGATAACTGGGGGGATCCCACTCTAGATTACAGACGTCTCGATAAAATTAAGTACCTTCTGGTGGCACCTACAACCTTCCTCTCAGTGCTTAGAGAGGGCCTCACGTTCCTATGTGAGGGTCTTTTGGTCCACAGATTGAAAAAAAACAAAACTGAATTGCTTTTTGTGTCTCCAAAGGAAAAGTTATCTTTTATTGTGTATGTATATTCTTTAGTATTATACTAATTTTAGTGCTTTTGAAATGATTAACCTATTAATCTTTAATTTTGTTTGTTTTGTTTAGTTTGCTAAATAGATCACATTTATTAATTTGATTATTTTTATGGAGAAGAAGAGGACCATGTTTGAGCTAATTTTACAGCATTTACTTTCTGATCTTTAAATCTGTTAACCTGTTGTTTTGTAATTTAGTTTTTGAAATTTAATTTAAACTGTGCCGACAAAAGATTCATCTCACCGTCTCAAAAAGAATGGTTAATTTTGATCCTCCTGCTGACCTCCAGGGACCTCGATGCCAGAAGTCCTCACTCCCTTCACCTGCTAAACGGGGTATTGATGCTGGAAGACTGCTTCCTCCAGGTGGTACCTGACACTTCTGACAATCACAGTCCTCGGAAAAAAATCAGTCCAGGAGAATCTGGCCGATAACGACAAATTGTAGTGGGAAAAAAGTAATCAACTATTCACCGTAGTTAGATAAACAGAGATTGGTGGCATTTTATTAATCATATATCTTTGCAAAGAGAGAACAGCTCTTATGGCACAGCATTCAGTTCTGTTCTGCCTGAGCAGCGTTCATTCCCCCTTACTTACAACAACTGAAAGTAGTCAGTTAAAACAATTTACAGACGCTTTGGTTAACAGTAACATGTTATGAATAAACCTTGAGAAAGGTTTGTTATGGTAAGAAGCTATAGCTGGTCTACAAACGCAGAGGATGGTGTGGCCTTGCAGGTGAAACAGACTCAGTGAAAACTTTTATAGTGAGTAAATAGGATAAAATAATATATAAAATAAGAGGAATCTAAATTTTCCAACATTAGTCTAGCATTTTTTTTTACTTGTTAATTGAAAATGCTCTATGAGCCATATAATATACAAATGTGTATTACACCGTCCATTTTCGTTTTCATTTCTTTGTAGTTATCTCAATTCCCATGTACAAGTTCTGTATGATGATTGTAACCTTTCTGCCAACCATAGCTTTAGATACAAAGTATTAAGTTATCAGCTTAACCTTATTTCAGGGTCACTGTAATGGCTGGAAACCAAATTAAACCAGGCAGTACTTTTAAGTTAGTACTATTAAATACATCACAAAACCTAGCAGTTTAATATGGGCATGTGGACCTTTGAAAGTCTTTGTACACCTGAGAACTCTGTGCTAAAATTCAATCTTTGGTCTCGACATATGGCGAATGACTGTTCAAATCAGGGAAACAGCAAAAAACTGACTCAGGACTGAGGGAAAAAAAAAAAAAAAAAAAGGCTAGTTCCTGACCATCCTAAATTGTGAAATGTTTTTTCATTTCTCTAACAGTAGAAATAAATATATGGTTTAACAGTGTTGTGTAAAAAAAAAAAAAAGGGTTTACTCAACCTGATGACAAATGCAAGGTAGTCAGCTTAATACACACCTTATAGAATAGCTCAACAAACAAGCAAATCCATTTGGGAGGAGCTGTGCTCAACAGAAATATAAGATACAAACAGACATGTTAAGTTACTTTAGTATCTAAAATAGACCCAAGATAAGAAAGGTTTAAGAGGTGACTGTCCTTTTTAATATTTCAGTCAAGACGAATGACAATCATTTCAATAGTTGGAGGGAGGGGGACTAGCAGAGAAGTAAAGGAAAAATTGATATACCTGTTGGTTTGTCTAATAACTGACTTAACTCCCATGTATCCTGAAAAGAACGACGAGAGCAGCGTTCATATTTGGTAATCAACATGTTTATTAAATTGACTTGCAACTACAATGGCAAACTAAGCAGCAGCTTAAGATGAATGTCAGCATCTAAAAGAAAACAAAAAGCAAAGAAACAAAAACAAAAGGAAAACATGACGCTTGAAAACAAATGTATTCTGAAATCAAGTGGAGGAAAGGTTTCATCATCATTTTTTTTTCTTTTGAGGAATTTCCCTTTTTTTCGATGACTTGATAAACTTGAAGCTAACACCGCTATACGGTTGAAAAAACACCGAAACAATGAAAGAACAATCACATCCACAACTTTATATCACAGTGAAAACAATAAGACCACTGAAGTAAAATGACTTGTATTCCAGTTACAAGATTGGGCAAAAAAAAAAAAAAAAAATCTTTTTTTACAAATTCAACAAACTGTGATGGACACACCTTGATCACTTAGGAGAAAAAAAATATCAATGCAACGAATATCAGTGACATGTTTGGGCAAATGTAACCAGAGATTGTGTTTTGAGTTGATGGGTTTCATCCAGATGTGGTAAGAAACTCTTCCACCCTTGCAGCTATCTGTACCGCTCCACCTTAACATTTCAAGGTCAAGCTGAGACAACACTCAGGAATGTCTTTCTGCTTTCTACCATCAGCTTGGACAGTTACAAGGCCTTCCTTTGCAGTCGGTAATTAAACACAATTTGCAGGATCGATGTCTTTGAAAACCAAGAGGTCCACGTATGAGAAAATTTAGAGATTAGCTACACAATTTGTTGCTCTACAGTGAAGCATTCACACCAGAGCAACAAAACTGGTGTTGCTAATAACAAGAGCAAACAATTGGACTGAAAGTGCAACTTACCATGCATTCAATGACTGAATAAAGGGCCTAGTCAGGCTGAGAAGCGGGTTGATACAAATGGGGGTGAAATGGTTATAAACTAAAGCTGAGCGTTTTGTGTGAAAATGTGTTCCATTATTCTGTACATTATGTTTTAAAACCCATTATTTGGGAGTAGTTCTCAAAGACATGTTTGGGATTTAGATCTTCTTTTGTGATAAATGCAGTATATATTAAGTTTATTTATTCCCTCAAACTGAAAACAAAAGTTTTTGACACCTATTATTCAGTCTTTGTAATTATGTAATTGCACTTGGAAATAAAAAATATATAAACATCCAAATCCTGTTTGCACAAGAGCTTAAAAACACTCAGCTCAATTGTTTGAAGACCGATCAACGAATGTTAGATTTGTTTTTGTTTCTGGGATATAGAACATCCCAAAATTGACAAATGGAAATTTGTTTGTCTCTTAATACAAACATGTTTTGTTTTTTTTGTTTGTTTTCTCACGTAGCTTGCTCATTAATTAAACCGCTGAAATACGGCATCCTACTAGTATTTCTGTCGATGCCTGAATTCCAGAGAAAAGCATTGAGGGCTGTTGGTTTTCTTTTGAGTAGATGTTAAGCGCTGTCTGTCACAGGCTGCAGGGAGAAAAGAAAAGAAATCATCAGGGCAGAGCTTTTAGCTTAACATTCTGAAAACTACAACATCATAAAATGATACAATGGATCCAAAAAGATTTCTTACATTATTGCTTTAAAAATATTACCACCCATGTCTTCAATAGGGCTAATGGCCTGTTTTCACTAATGTAGTTTGTGATTTTGTGCGGGTTCTTTTTATTTGAACACATTTTCAACCTAATACTCATCTATGCTTTAACATAAAGATACCTTTAACTAAACAAGTTTAAAGAAAATTGTGAATTTCTTAGTCTTAAAATAAAAAAAATAGCTAGGGGTATATTAGAAAAAGAAAATGGATACACAAATGAACTCTAATACCTTTTCTGTTGTGTACATTGAAACAAACTGATAATAAATATGAGATGTTTGATGTTGAACAGCGGTGCAGTAGTTCAAACCAGATATTTATACACTAGATAAAAAGATGAGTTATTCATTTTCTTTTTTTTTTTTTACTGACTAAAATAAATTCCGCTCAAAGTTTTCTTTTTTGTGTCACGATTACCAAAATTATATTTGTATTACAAACTTTTTCATTAAGTTTCCTTTTGCATAAAAAAAAAAAAAAAAAGAAAGGAAAACACTAATAAGAAGTTCATTTGAAGATCTGCTTTTTGTAGCAAACACATAATCTGTCTGTGCGGACTTTCTAAATGCAGACAGACCTTAGACATCCATAAACACCATGTTCATTTGTGACGTTGCTATCAGAAGCTTCCAAGTTAACGGAGAAGCAAACTAATCCTAGTAATTCTCTAAAGGTAAACTAAGGTGATTTCATATTGTTAAAAAGTTGCACATTAATATCAGACCTGTATTTTGTGTCCTATTATAATAGCTGAATGATCTGTTCAATGAGTAGATGTTGATGCTACTCTCTAATATCTGTGTGCTTCTAATTTTAAAGATCACATGTCTTTTTTGTTTTATCTGATTAATGATAATCAGCATGTTGTTGAGCAGGTTTTTACCTTTTCCGCTGTTAGCTGGGCCTCTGGTGGAGCGTTCTCCTGGCCTTCTGGTTTCGACTCACTCTGTGAGGAAGGTGCTGTGGCCTTAGTTTTATCCACATCATTCAGCTTGGCATCGGTGTTGGATTTGTCCCCCTCTGCCTCTGTATCCTTTGGCCGTTTGGGAGAGTCCTGTCAAAAGTGCAACGAAGGGTGAGGAGAGCCTTGCAGGAATCTAGCAGTGGAGGTGTCCGTTCAGACAGCCTGAAGCTCACCTCTGTGGACTCCTCTGCTTTTCGCTTAGTCCCCCCCTTCTCGTTCTTCTCGTCGATAACCAGGGTCCCTTCATCTTCGTCGCTGCTGCCCTCGGCATTGGCTTTCTCCGAGCTGCCTGTGTCTTCAGCAGCTTCTGATGAGTTGTCCTTCTTTGCAGACTAAAAAAAGAAAAGAAAAAAAAATACAAATCAATAAATAAAATATGCTTTCAAACAGAATTTGAGCTTAAACAAAACAAATGTTTACCTTTGTTTCATTGATCAAGGTCACAGACAATAACCAAGTTTGAGATGTTACTTTATAAACACAACAGAATAAAACAAGTTCGCACAGGTTTTATGGGCTGTGTGACATAAGGAACACACTGTGTTAAATGTAGTGAATGCAATACCAGTAAGGTAAGATTTTACTAGTTTTAAAGTCTTGTGCTCTGGGTTTGCTGCCAACATAGACCTCAGAGAGTGAGGAATAGCGTTACTGAAAAATATACCACAGCAAAGATTATATATAGTTTTTGCTGCGTGTATAGTATAAGTAAGCCATTTTTTCCCTTTGGAATAAATGTATTTTCTCTTGATTTGAGCAGTTTCTACAAATGCCAATAAACAAGAGGAATTGTTCTTAAAAATAAGAATCTAATTTCTAGTGCATATCCCAGAAATACTCACTCCACCAAAAATCATCTCATTTACCTTCTCAAATTCAGGGCAAATACACAATTTAAGAATTTATTAGGCCTGTTTCATTCATGAAGACTACCAACCTCGTATCCTTCATGAGTGACAGTGGGGTTGTTCTCGATTTCCCAGAGTCCCTCAGCAAAGCCTTTCCTCTTATTTGGTTTTCCAAACTTCTCCTTGCACTCCTCATATGGGAAGAGATCCTTGGCTCCGAGGAAAGCCCTGCCACCATTGAACAATTTGCTGTGATATCAACCAAAAGGCTCTCCAAATTATGTTCAATGCTGATTTGATTTATTCCAAAGTTTGAGGATTTAATGACATGCTTCCTGCAAAAGCGAAACATTTATAGGCATAGACACAAAATACTTACGTCTCATGTGTTCCAAAAAAGAACACTTGATATTTGTTTGAGGGCGATTTGACGGCTCCTTCTGGTAACTCGTCGATCTGTACAACACAAGAGAAAATCCTAATTAGGTGATACAGGTAAATGAAAAGAATCCATCTAATATTAAAACAATAATAAAACACTACCTTAAAAACAAAAGAAAATAGGGAAAGGATGATTTCTCAGAACATTTAAATAAAACAAATCTATAACATGCAATCATCTATAGTAAAATTAAATAATTAAAAAAAAAATAATAATAATAATAACTGATACATAACATTGAGTCTCAGTTAACCATAATAAAAAAAATATTAAGTTGCTGATCATGCATCATTTGGGTTTGCCTCTCTGCTGGCAGTAAGTCTTCCAAAAGGGCACAGCGAAATAAAGAGACAAAAAAACACTGCCGTCATGACAGACAGGCATGGCGACTATTGTCTCTGCCAGACGGGCTTCTGGCATTCACCAGATAGGAACGCTGCGAGATGGTAGTTGGGGCAGGACCCAAATTCTGTTGACATGAAGCTGATAAGGCTGAGGAAAGGGAGGGAAACGACACTGCCCAGAGTCATAGTTCCTTCTTACCGTTTCTTCTAATATTGAGCATTTTTTTCTTTCTAGGTCTTTACTTTGGCAACACTTTTAAGGGATTACAATGTTTTGCTAGTTGTTTGATTATAAATATTTGCCCTTTTTGGTAGTAATCTATGTTTTAAATATAGATTTCATTTGGTGATTATTTATAAATGCAAAGATTGGTCCATCCTTCTCATTGCCTGATCCATCACATATGTCTATATGCACCATTAAGGAGTTAAGAGGTGAATAAAGACATATAGCTTCAGAACTGTTTCTTAAATAACCGTGACATTTATTACAAAGAAAGGCCCACCAAAACACCAAACTATTTAAAAAGCCTAATTACAGTTTAAGAAAATAAGCATATTATGGAATCAGGCGTCATATTTGATTTTTCTCTCTTGGGAAAGTAAAAAAAAAAAAAAACAAATACATAAATATGATTTTGTTTCTTCCAACATCACTGTATATATGTCATTTCTCCTTCTCTAAGCTCTTCAGAAATAATAACGCATAACCTGCTTTTAACCTCTTAGATGACATCTTCATTCATTTATCTAACATTGAGGGTATTTTAGGTTGGCAACTTTTATAATATTCCCGGTTCTTTTTTATATTAAACAGTGTTAACTTTGTTAGGATAGATAAAACTGATAAAACAAAATCCAATCGGAAAATAAAATGATAAACTAAGGACATTATGTGGCAGAAAAGTAAGTTTTCAGTCATTTTAACATAAAAAAGCAGTGCAGTGGCGACATGTGAGGTCAGGTAAACAGGTGGACGTACAGTAAAACATAAAATAACCATAATTAGTTACAGAGTTACATATACATGTGTAAGGATAAACATTAAAATGTATTTAATGATAAAACATTGGTATGTGCGTTGCTGTAACATGGGTTGTGGTGTTGGCTAACTTTCACAAACGGTCAGCGGTTATCGACCGTTAAGAGTCCGCGAAAAGCTTCAACTTCCAGCTAGCATCAACAGGCCTCAGGGGACACGGGAACACCGGAGGGGTCAATAAAAAGAAGCCAGCGACAGCACCTGTGTTTAATGACTGGATTTATTACGTGCTGGTGCGTCTTAAAGAAATGCGTAATAGCAAACTATTGGCTCTTTTCGTTACGTTGGCTTTAAAAAAAAACAAAAAAAACGGAGATGCTAAGCTAACACATGTTAGCTGCCTACGTTAGGCCTCTCCTGGGTGAACAAGAAGGTACCAAAGCAGCAACACGGTCAGAAAGACTGAAGTTAGCAGCAGACTGGATGCTGGGAGCTAAATATGCAAACGGCGGGAGCTTACCCTTGCAGGCCAGTGTGGATATCCCTTCATTTTAGCAAACACCAGGTCTCCAGGTTTGTATTCCTTTTGCCTGTTGGTCCTCGGCATGATTCAGATTCAATGTAAGAGATGTGTTACAACAAATATATATTTTTTAGCCTAAAATCCCTTGCTGCCACCTTCTACAACAAAAAACTAATCCAAGCGTCGAGCCGACATCCAAATAAACAAACCAAGCGCGGAAAAATTGGAGCGAAGACGCAGCGAGCGGTTCGCCCCCTCTTCTTCTTTGAATGAAGAGCTACGAAAACAAACCGCGGCCGAACGACAAAGGCTGTGCTTCTATTTTCAATAAATTTCTACAAATTAGCAAGGTATATTGACTAGTTTGTATAAACGCTAGCTCGCCCTCCGGATTAGTTAGGTTTGAAATTGAAACCCGCTTTCCTCTACAGACGCGCCCCCCAGTATTTAGGTGCAACCAGAAAACAGCGCCCCCTACTGGCTGGAACAAAAGAGAACAACTGCGAAATGAATCAAAGCATTAAGATTCCCATTACGAAGAAGGTAATAACTTCATAATGATGTTGAAACCAAACTTTTCATATGGTTCGAGCATGTTATTTTTTTGATTTTCATGAAAAGAATACCGATGCAAGCAGAAGACTGACAATCTAATTGTTATATTTGGTACATTTCATATTCACCAATATACATTTTTATAATCTTCACCCTTTTTGAAGTTTTGGTTCAGGATATTGATCTATATGTATCTACTATTTGCAAGAGTACAAAGAAAACAGCTGTAAGGAAATATGAATTTTATAGATTATTTAATGTTTCTAACTTGTCATATCTGTAACATCTGCTTTGTTTTTTTTTGTTTTTTGTTTTTTTTTATTTGTTTCTTTTTGTACCAGTGTGTTTTCTGCAGAAGCATATATCCCTGGCATACTGTGTTCTGTTCCTTGTTTTTCTTTGTATTTGTATCTGTAAGATGCTTTCTCAAAAAATTTATAAAGAAAATCCTATTTCAGTTTTTTTAAATATCTGGATAAATTACTTGCATTTGGAATTAATGGTAAACTATTGGTTTTACTTAATAGCTGTGAATATATTTAGCAAAATCTAAATTAAAAAAATAAATATATAAAAAAATAACAACAGCAGCAAAAAAAAACAAAACATAAATGTTAGGGATTAAAGTTGACTTGTAACCAGGTTTTGGATTTAAACCAAATGCAAACATTTTTCATCACAGAAAAATATGGAAACTAGTCAGAAAAGCTTGCAGGAACCCCGAAGGAGCTGCAGAAACTTTGGTTTGTTCTGGCTTTATCTTAAATGTAACAGCAATCTTGGTATAATAGAAAATGTAATATAGTTTATGAAATGATATATCAGGTTTGGGTGTTTTCATTACCTTTAAGCAGCATTCATGTGAAGAAATAAAATAAACATTGTTTAGTGGGACAACACAGAACGCTAATTACAAGTCAAAACAGAAACAGGATGCAAAGGCTTACAAATTATCAAAATAATAATAATAATAATGGGAATGTATAGTCTGGGTAAATGTACAACATAAGTTAAAATTTTGTACAGCTATTGGAATATTGTGCTCAGATAAATGGTTCACATAAAGTTACAAAATAAAATAAAACAATGCATCTATTTGTGTTGTAAATTTTTATTACACGTGCATGTGTGTTTTGCATGTGTTGGTTTATTTAAAGACATAAATACATGGAAAAACTCTAAATTGTGTCATAGACTCTGCATCACACCGATAACACCAATTAAAAATACTGTATATTTGCACCATCAATGTGTTTTTTGCACCAAGTTTTTTTTCTAACACACTGTTTATATTTGACCACTGCTGCACTTTGTGGAATGAAAATATTAATTTACCGTCTGGAAAGCTGTATTAAACGAAACTTCGTTTTGTATACACTCTGTGTGTACTAAATCACAATAAAAGGTGTCTAGTCTAAGTTATATTTCTTGATCGTTTTATAACATCTACTACGCGTATTCCGCGCTAGGGCGCGCAAAAGCTCCAGTACTGCTGTAGATAACAGCAGAAGAAGAAGAGCCCCAGTACTGCTGTAAATAACAGCAGAAGAAGAAGGCGGCGGTTGTCCTCAATCAACGTATGATGAAGGCGAATGTTTTGATGCAGTCCATGGAGTAATTAGCTCAGTTCTAAGGACACATATAGACTTTAAAACGACCCATTCGGTTTATTTGTTCAATAGAAGTTATTGCTACTAAAACTAATTGACCTGGACAAGAAATTGCGCGGAACTAGACCACGGTGGCCTAGCTAACATTTGCTAGCTCCGTTTTACCAGGTCCCTTTTGTAATACTCCATATGCGGTTAATTCTTACATTGTGGCTGCCTGAGCAAAGTTACCTGTACTATTAACATTTCTATCGGCTTATTAAGAAGTCTGTGTTCGTGGCTTCTTCAGACCAACTGAAGGAGAAGTGTTTATCCATGTCCACTTGTTCCTGTAGAATATTAATCCTCGGTAAGCTCAGCAAACATGTCTCTAGTCGCCTATGGTAGCAGTGATGAGAGTGACTCAGAGGAAACATCGACTATCGAAAGTAAACCAAGCGGGGGAGGACTTTTCTCGTTCCTGCCTGCTCCTAAAGCATCTGGAACAGCCAGGGCTAAAGGCTTTGCAGCCGCGGACAACACAGGGAGGGAGGACTTCAGTCCATCTACAGGAGGGTTCTTATCCAGTCTGCCCAGACCAAAGAAACGAACAGAGCCTGTCAAGATTCCCGTGCCACAAGTCCAGAGACGAGATGTAAGTTAAATCAAGTCTATGATCACATGTAGTACACTGTGTTTTGATCTGGGGGTGTAATTTATGATCATTTTTAATTCACAGTCTGACTCGGATGATGATGAACCAGCTACAAAGAAGCTACAAGCCCAGGTAAGGTTGAGTCTTTATTAGAAATAACAATCAGTATATACATAAAAGGATGTTTCTTATAAAACAAACACTATATTTAGCTAGTTTTCCCTGCTCTTTACTTTGAAAACAATATGTCCCCAGCTTTGAACATGTTAAAGAAAACACAATCTGCTAGCGAAAGGAGTTTTAAATCTAAAAGGATGTAACCTGCCACCTCACCTAATGTGGAAGCAGAGCATTAATCAGAGCTGCAGCCAAAGACTCTATTATAAATCTAGAAGAACTTACCTGTAGAGATGTTCTTGATCCAATCTAACAGAGTTTGAGCTTGTTTCAAATACATATTTGGCAACATGGTAGGGACATAATCTAAAGGCAAAAAAAAAAAAGAAGTGAATACAAATGCAGACCAGCTTTGAGTTGGTCTGTCATAATAAAACCCATTCATCTAAAAAGCACCTTTACTGTGTTGCTGTATCATTAGAAAATGTGACACATTTGAAGCAGGGTGAACCAATTTGTCTGTTGCTCTCACCAGGGTGCAGGGTCAGGTCTGTCCTCCATTCTCCCCAAACCCAAAAACCTCACAGTGAAGGAGATGGAGAGACCTTTGATTCCTCACACGCTGACTAAACGGCAAGAGCCCAAAGGACCCAAACCTGGAACTCCTGCTCAAGGTCTGATCAGTTCTAGCGCGTCTCCCTCCGCCATCAAAGCCGCGGCAAAGTCAGCAGCCCTGCAGGTGGCCAAACAAATAGCAACGGATGACCAGGATAACGAAGAAGACATAACTCCTCAGAACTACTTTTCCCTGGAAGACAGCTTCCAACCTGTTCCTGCTGTCGTCCCGAGTGTGGATCCTGAGCCAGCAGCCCCTGCAGAACCCTTTCCTTATGTGACTCCCAATGAGCCAGGACGCTCAAATGCACCTTTGGATTTTGCGGGGAACCCAGAGGGAACGGATGCATGGGAAGGTCAATATAATCAGTATGAACAACCCATGGCTGGCCCAGAGGCTTTCTCTGAGGTACATCTAACTTCATTCTTATATCTATGGAAGAAAAACAACAACTTCATGTGAAAGCTCCTGCCTTTTTTTTTTTTTTTTTAAAGGGAAGCTATAATGAGCCATTCTATCAGGATCCTAACCCCGAGTTAGCAGAAGGAGAGGAGCCTGGCAACTCCTCCATTTTTGATGACGAAGCGGTAAGAAGTCGGTTGCATAGTTAGTTGTCGACATGTTCCTGTTTTTCTATTCTGTTTATGCTTCAGCCTGGATCTAAAACCAGCTTGTAATATTCACACCATTTGCATATTCTGTAACTTCTTTTTAATCTGCCTGCTCTGCAGTTTATGCGGCTGCAGGGGAAAAGAAACCGAGGGAAGGAGGAGGTAAAGTTTCTGGAGATCAAGGGGGACGACCAGCTGAGTGGGAACCAGCAGTGGATGACCAAGAGTATATCTGAGGAAAAACAAACCCGCCAGTCCTTCAGCAAGGTGAGCGCTGGCTGGATCTTTTTTATGAGCTGACAAGATGTGCTAGTTAGCTGTTAGATCATCTGAATAATGTTTAAGAGTCTTAATAAAAACAAAAGGTAAGATGAAAACATTAGAAATAACAAAGCTTAAAATTCAACTTTTTTTATTCTTCATTCTTTCTGCAGAGAAGAGGAGAACAACCTACAGGACAACAGAGGCGAAAGCATCAGATAACGTATCTCATTCACCAGGTGAGCGACCTCTGAAACACTAAAATGGTTTCAATAATATTAATCACAACTTAGATTTTTTTTTTTTTATGCACTGATAAGATTTTTATTTGCTGATACAAATTCACATTTTGATATTTTTAAAGTTTTATTTTTTGCACTAGAAAATGCTCAGACAAAATAGTCTGTGAAAACACTTCATTTACAGAATAACTGTAGTCAACTTTGATCATAGAGCAGAATAATAAATGTGGTCTCATTAATGTAGAGTTTTGCCAAAGTGTTAAGTGTTTCATCTTTTGGATATTTCTTTAGCCTGTTTGGGGACATTTTATTAAGGTTTTATGTAACACAACAGCATAAACTGTCCTTGATTGGAAAATGGAGGGAAAAAAATCAGAAATGAGATAAACAAAATCTCTAAATATTACATTTTCTCTTTTCCCAGGCAAAGGAACGTGAGCTGGAATTGAAGAACAGCTGGGCAGAAAACAGGATGACACGTCGTCAGACCCAGGCCAAATATGGGTTCTAGATCTTGTAGCTGTGGACTGCTGTGGCATACAGATACCTTGTATCACATATTACCCGTTATCAGATTAAGCCTCTTCTTCTAGAAGCTCAACCTGTTTTTATTTTCTTCCTGCTCCACACCCTGCAATGTCACAAACTGCTATTATTCTGTTTGATATGGTGTTTCTCAGTTACTCCTTTACAGTAAATATAAGCCCTACACCTAAAGAGAAACCCAACCAGTGTTTTTAAGGTTTCCAAATCATAAATGTTTATTCTTTGGATGTGTATAAAACATATTCATGGCGTTTTCATTCATTGTTTTTGTGGCAGAGAACATCGTAGCATGTTTGGTTCTCTGGGAACCGATTCTCATTGTTGATCTATGATCATGATCTAAAATGAGAAAAATGTGACGACCAATATTTGCGGAAGCTACAGCATGTGAGGAAGGGATGCTATAATGTTGATTTAGAAGAAAACAAACACCTGAATTTGATCAGTTGTGGTAATAAAGCTAAATGGTGACCTGACCTCTCGCTGCTGCTGAAAACAGAGTCCTTCTGAGTGAATAATTTCCCATCAGGCACTTCAGAGTTCTTCCCAAATGAGCCGCAAACATCTCAATATGCTCTACTGTGTTTTCATTACTGCTTTATTTTCTGCTTAGCCTTCTCTTCCATTGACTTCAGTTGTTTTGAGTTCAGTCTGAACAGTTTAAATGCAGGAATGTTTGATGGGAGAAAAAAATGCAGTTAGCTTAAAGAGCTAAAGCTGAACTCCCCTTTTATTTTTCTGATGGACACTGTTGCATCTTTTCTTCCTACAGTTTTACATTTCATGTGAATTATTAGAGAAACTCTGTATATAAGATAATTTGCTTCTGAAAGGCCAGATGAATCCTTCCTTAACATGCTGGTTCTCCCCAGTTGTATAGTGGTGTTACTTAACAATATATTAATAGGATATCTTCAGAGGTCTATAATGTGAACCAATCCAACTCAATCCCTTTGTATAAGATGGAAGAAAAACTGTAAACATTCAATTGGCAGGCTAAGGGTGCACATTTAGTCAGACAATTACAGAAATGTGATGCAGGACTAAATCTAAGTTTAAGCCTAGGGAATTTGCATTGCAAAATCACAGGCTGGTGTATTTGTTATTCACATCTTCCTTTTTTTGTTTTCTTGTGTGTTTGATTAAAATTCAATAAACCACTTTTGAATTTTTCTAGTTTTACCTTATCTTCTGTTTACTTTGTATTTATGGCCACAACTGAAGGGGAAGGAGTGATTTAGGATCTCAATTCACTTGGTTAGATACTCCTGATCACAGTCCTGTCACCACCTACCAATACTACACAACATGAACTTTAAAAGGTTTTCATTTTTTGATGCAGGATCACATTCTATTGCCAAAATATAACTGGGAATAACTTACGTTTTTCACAGAATACTTTCACGGGACGTAAGTCCCTGCAAAGTCCAGAGGTGTCCTTGCTCACTGGTAGTCACAGAAGGAAAGGGTTCTGCAGGGGCCACTGGCTCAAGACTTCATCAGAGACAGACTTATCACATAGAAATGTGAGATAAATCTATAAACTGAGATTTGCACATTACTATATTTGCTTTTTAAGTCAATAGTTTGAGGGAAAAAATGACAATTTATGACATTTTCAAGTAAGAGAAGTGGCTGTTTAGACATTTGCTTGGCTTTTGTTTTCTGAATCAATCTATTAACCTCATGGTCTCTCAAATGGGGGTGTGGTGGCCTAGAGGTTAGGGCATCGTGCTTGGATCCCAGAGCGTGGTTTATACAGGAATGAGTAACTCTAAATAAATGCTTTTTAATGCTCTTAGAAATTTTAATGCCATCAACAATTACCCAATGACTCTCATATATATATATATATATAAATAAAACACTGCAAAGTCCTTTGCCATCTTTACCATCGACAGGCTGCAGCCATGTCCCAAATTCCTAATTTTCCAGCCACTTTTGTTGAAATTAACATTTTCGGGAAGCAGTTCTGCTCAAACACGTGTAACCAGTTATGAACGGAACCAGACGAAAGAGTTTTTAGAAACTTTTTTTAAAAATAATTTTAAATGCTACAATAATCACATTTAATGCATTTTAATGACAATTAAGGCCTTATTTTAAAAGAATAATAATTTAATGACTTTTAATGACCCGCAGAAACTCTGCAGAGGTTCTGAGTTCAAGCTCCACTCCCACAGACTGCCACTCTGACTCCCTGAGCAAGACCCTTAAACCTGCCCTGCTCCCCAGGTGACACACAATAGCAGCCCACTGCTCCCCAAGGGCATGGGTTAAATGCAGAGAGTGAATTTTGTTGCTTTGCACTTTACAACGTAATGACAATAAAGTTGAATTCTATTCAAACAAAACTTATAGTTTGACTACATGCACCTGGTTTGAAGTACCAGCACCTTTGGAGCCTTGCTTGGTGTTGATGGAACAGATGAAGCCAGGATGCTCTCTTCACGTTTGGTTGAGTCTGACTTTATCTCTTTTCCTGGAATTTCTGAATTTAACTTTTGTTAAAAAAAAATCTTTAGGACTGTTTTCTCCAGAATGTGTTTTTTGGCTTGATAAGTGTCAAAATCAAGTCACCATCAAGTCTAAGGGAATGATATGGCTTCAGTGAAACCAGTATAGTGGACGTCAAGCTTCAGCCTCGGTTGTACCTGAACATCCTGGATCAGTTGTTCTTCATCTGAGGATGACTGTTTTGAGTCTATTGGTTAAATTTTGGGCATAAAGTGTGCTTTAACAGAACAATGACCCAAGACACTTGTTTTGAAGCAGTGAAACAGACCAACATAGGGTATAAGTTCAAGTATGAACTTATACCCTATGTATGAATCGATACTGTATCATTGTATAATGATCCAACCCTGCAAAAAGATTATAAAAAGCCTTAAATATTAGAAAAAAACACCAAAGAAGAACAAACACCAACATCTGACCTAAACTGTAACACAGTTTATTATTAATAGCAAAGTTCTCACTGTATTGCAAATAAACTTCTGTTTTAAACAAGCAAATGTACCAATTCCAAAGTGGGATTAAGGTCACTTCTCAGAGTTATTGATACATATTGTGTTTTTATTTAGTAATACAAAAAACATCAGCTTGATATTTACTTAATTATTCAGAAGTCTGTTATTTTTCATTTGAGTTATCATTTGGTGTTGATCCCTGCTGGGTTTGGGCAGTCAATGTCTCAGAGTTTTTGGCGTCCTCTGCTTCCTCTGTCTCAGAAATGGATTTTAAAATGCCGTCCTCCTCGGCGGCGGCCTGTGAGGCAAGATCAGCCTCCTGCAGCTTCCGTTGTGCCTTTCTCTGCTTCTGGGAGATCGCAGACTGATCTTCGTGTGGTAACAGGGACATGGGGATGCGAACTGTGTCAATTCCATTCACCTGGAAGACATTTGCAGACAAAGTAAGCACAACCGCTGGTGTCATTTTAAAAAAGGTCAACCATGCAGAAGCTGCTACGAAAGTAGAAGTACAGAAAATGCTTAATATGCACAAAGGAATGCTTTTGATGTGATCTTCTTTGATGAAAATAAACAGCTTAAAATGTGTTTCAATTTAGTTAGAAAAACTGAATTTAGCCAATGAGAGGGAGAAATACATACTGTAATTTCACACCAGTAGTCGCCCACGTCCTTTATTGGCTCAAAAGGCAGAGTCAATGCCTGAGGTGGAACGACAACTCCCAGCTGAGGAAATATTTGCAAACATCATTAAAAAACGAGAATTTTTTTTTTCGGTTTAACAAAAATACTTTCCCAGAAATTAAAGTTAACGGTGGCATTTTTTTTATTTCATTATATAAAAATGGCTGATGTATCGTTAAGCCACTAAAAGTATGAGGTATTACCAGCAGGGGGTGCCATGTAGGGTTTATAATGTAATGAAATAAAAAAATATATCTTTCTAAATATGTCAGGGTTAAATTATACTGCTACATGGCAGATCAGTTCACTTTAACATCCCCTTTTAAATATTTAACAATGCTCATATGGGGATGCATTCCCCACTCAAAAAAAAACAAAACAAACAAAAACAGCAGACAAACCTTTTTCTCAAACTGTCTGCTGACGACTTCTTTAGTGAGCTGGAATTCATCTGAAGGCATTTTGATGATATTGAGCTTGGAGTGTTTAAGAAGGTCAACCGTCTGTGAAAACAAGAGAGGGCATTTAGTACAAGCTTACAGCCATTAGTTGGTTTTTTCCTTTCACATCCCCTTGGTTCTCAGTCAGAGTGGGACCACAGGAGCAGGAACAACTCTGAAAACGAGTGATTTATGCTAGTAAACTCACCAGTTGTCCCGTTCTGGTTTGTAACCTCTGGTCTGGTTTGCCCTCGCGTAAAAGCTGGGTTACAATAAAACATAACAATGAAGAGCTGTATCTGAGTGTTTAACATTTGCAGAAAAAATGAATCATGTAGTACGCACTCTTAGCTCCTCAGCAAACATCTGTTTGTTCTCTGGTGATGGATACACTGCAAGGCCTTGGGCAAGCAGCTTGTTCCGCCCGACAGACTTCCTCACATACACTGTATCACCTCTTCCACCGAGTTCTGTTATTTCGAATGCATAGAAAAGGTTTTAATGTGATTTGTGACTTTTTACAGGAAATTTAAAACCAACAAGAGGATGATAGATACTAGGGCTGGGTAAAAAAAATAGATATTTTGCAAAATCGATGTCTAGGGAATGGGATCGATTTGTTTTATAGTGACGTGCATGACATTCACATTCAAATGAGCAGGAAAGATGCACGCAAAATACTTCAAGCCAGACAGCTGCAAATATAGCCATTAGGTTGATGGAAGACATCAACAAATGGGGGCTGACCAGCAAACACCCTGTAGTTGTTGCAGACAATGCTGCAAATATAGTTTGTGCAGTGAAGATAAAATGCAACTCATGCATGTCTGCTGTGTCAAGTCTGTTTGCTCGAGTGAGGCTTTTTCACTTTTCACAAACAAGTTTGCACTTTTGAGACAGTTTTGTTCACATCTCAATTTTAAACTGTCCGTTTTACAAGTTTGCACTTTGTGTTTAATATGACAGGAAAAAATACAATACATGAGTATTCTGAAACACATATGAACCACTTTCATTATTGTAAAAACAGATCGAATTGAAATCAATCCATTTAGAACTGTATGAATCAAAATCGAATCGATTCAGGACTTTGGCGAAAATACCCAGCCCTAATAGATACTCACTTGCCACAGTTTGAGTCAAAATGAGCTCCATCTTCTCCTTGGGAGCATGTTTTGTGTCCTCCACCACCTTGTAGATACGGTGTCTTCGGGGGTAAAGCCTCGGCGGACTTCCCTCTTTCGACAGTGGGACCTGCCACCAACGCTCCACGACAACAGTGTGCTGGGAAAATATCTAAATCACTAACTGTTTGTCATGATGCAAGGATAAAGACATTGGACCATATCCTGAATTTAAATAGTAAATCAGCATAGAGAAATAAGCACTAAGATTAATAACATAAAATTCAGAACTTTCCCTAATTCAGGCTTTTAATTCCTAGTACAAATTTTATACAATAAAACAAATATATATAATTTGGGGTAAAGTAGTGCGGGTTTAAAAATCTAAAGCTCCAAAATGTTCCTATATTTAATAATACCGCCTGAGCCAAGATCACCAAAAGGATACAAACCTGGATTCACACAAGTGTCAAGATTGGTTTCCAATCAATAAACCTTAAAAACCAAATGCCATGCATAGAGGTTTGTTTTTGGTTTAGAACCTGCGCTTCACGGCAGTTTCATTATCTTGCTGTAATCATTTCATCATATTGACTTAAAATGCCCACAGAGTGATCTTGTTTTATTAGTCACAATGTGAAAATTAAGATAAATATTTTTAAAAGCTCAATGTCGAGATTACAAGATCACAGGATTATTTTTATTTTGATAAACATTTCACAGTCTCAGAATTTTAAGATTTAAGATTAAGCTTGTTTTCTTATAATAATGCATTTAGGATGACAGCCTGCTGCACCCTAAATGCACCAGGGAGCGTTATCACAGATCCTTCCAACCAGCAGCTGGAAGACTCTATAACCATCACTGTTCCCAACAAACTCAATAAGTTACATTCATGCTGATTTTGCACAGTTTCTACCTTAGTCAGTTAAATAACATGCTGCTGTCATTTTACACA